ACCACTATCAACAATGGATAGATCAACAAGACAAAAAATAAGTAAAGAAACTAAAGCTCTAAATAAGGACCTAGAGCATTTGGGCTTAACAGACATCTATAGAACACTAAACCCCCAAAAAATGGAGTACACATTTTTCTCAAGTGCACACGGATCATTCTCCAGGATCGATCACATACTGGAGCACAAGACAAACATCAACAGATACACAAGATTGAAATCATACCAACCATCTTTTCTGACCATGAAGGCATCAAACTAGAAATAAACCATAAAAGGAAGGCAAGGAACTTTCCTACCTTATGGAGATTAAAAACCACACTACTGGAAGACCACTGGACTAATGAGGAGATCAAAGAAGAAATTAAAAAATTCTTTGAATTGAATGACAAGGAGGACACCAATATCCTAAATGAATGGGATGCAGCAAAAGCAGTAATAAGAGGAAAATATATAGCAATAGAAGCTCACATCAAAAAACAAGAAAGAACTCAAAGAAACAACCTAATCTCGAAGCTCAGAGATCTAGAAAAAGAACAACAAAAAAATCCCAAAACCAGTAGAAGAAAAGAAATAATAAAAAACAAAGCAGAAATAAATGAAATTGAAACTAAAAATACAATCCAAAAGATCAATGAAACCAAGAGCTGGTTCTTTGAAAAAATCAATAAAATAGATAAACCCCTAGCCAGGCTCACAAAGGAAAAAAGGGAGAAAGCACAAATAAACAGGATCATCAATGAAAGAGGAGAAATCACAACGGATACAGCAGAAATCAAAAGAATAATCAGTAACTACTATGAACAGTTACATGGAAACAAGTTCAACAATCTAGAGGAGATGGACAAATCCCTACAACTCTACAATCACCCAAAGCTAGATAAAGAAGAAATAGAACACCTAAACAGACCAATTACAATTAGCGAAATTGAAATGGTAAACAAAAACCTCCCCAAAAACAAAAGCCCAGGACCTGATGGATTTACAAATGAATTCTACCAAACATTCAGAGACGAATTAGTGCCTATCTTTCACAAACTCTTCCAAAAAATTGAAAAGGAAGGGACAATACCAAACACGTTCTATGAAGCCAACATTACACTAATACCAAAACCGAACAAGGACAACACAAAAAAGGAAAACTACAGATCAATCTCCCTAATGAACACTGATGCAAAAATCCTCAATAAAATTTTAGCTATCAGAATCCAACAATGTATCCATAAGATAATTCACCACGACCAAGTAGGATTCATTCCAGGGACACAAGGATGGTTAACATCCGAAAATCAATCAACGTTATCCAACACATCAACAAAAAGAAATATAAAAACCATATGATAATATCAATAGATGCCGAGAAAGCTTTCGACAAAGTGCAACACCCATTCTTGATAAAAGCCCTTGAAATTCTTGGGATACAAGGAACATACCTCAACATCATAAAGGCCATCTATGACAAGCCAACAGCCAGTATCATTCTCAATGGTGATAAGCTGAAAGCAATTTCATTAAGATCTGGAACAAGACAAGGATGTCCACTCTCACCACTGCTTTTCAATATAATACTGGAAGTCCTAGCCAGAGCAATAAGACAAGAGAAAGACATCCAAGGAATCCAAATAGGAAAAGAAGAAGTCAAACTATCACTATTTGCAGATGATATGATAATATACGTAGAGAACCCCAAAAACTCCACAGAAAAACTAATTCAACTAATCAATCAGTTCAGTAAAGTGGCAGGATACAAAATCAACACGCAAAAGTCAGTAGCCTTCCTATACACAAACAATAAATCTGAAGAAGAAGAAATCAAAAAAACCATCCCTTTTTATTATTGAAACAAAAAAAATCAAATATTTGGGAATAAATCTAACAAAAGAGGTAAAGGACCTATACAAAGAAAATTATAAAACACTGTTAAAAGAAATAGAAGAAGACACAAAGAAATGGAAAGACATCCCCTGCTCATGGATTGGAAGAATAAACATTATTAAAATGGCCATCCTACCAAAAGCAATCTACAGATTCAATGCTATTCCAATCAAAATTTCAATGTCATTCTTCAAAGAAATAGAACAATTATTGATGAAATTCATATGGAATCACAAAAAACCCCGAATAGCCAAAGCTCTCCTGAAAAAAAAAAGAAGGGAATGGAGGCATCACACTCCCAGACTTCAAACTCTACTACAAAGCCATAATCATCAAAACTGCATGGTATTGGAACAAGAACAGACATACAGACCAATGGAATCGAATAGAAAATCCAGAAATAAACCCACAGATTTATGGTCAACTAATCTTTGACAAAGGAGCAAAGACTATGCATTGGAGCAAAGAAAGTTTGTTCAATAAATGGTGCTGGGAAAACTGGGTCGCTACATGCAAAAGAATGAAGCTTGACCACTACCTCACACCATACACGAAAATCAACTCAAAATGGATTAAAGAACTAGACATAAGACCTGAAACCATAAAATATATAGAAGGAAATATAGGCGAAACACTACGTGATTCGTACATCAAAGACATCTTTACAGACACATCACCCAAAGCAGTGATAGTGAAGGCAAACATAAACAGCTGGGACTATATCAAATTAAAGAGCTTCTGCACAGCAAAGAGACAATAACAAAAACAAAGAGAAACCCCACCAACTGGGAGAACATTTTTGCACCCAACACTAATGATAAAGGACTGATCACAAAAATCTGCAAAGAGCTGATGAGACTCAACAACAACAAAGAAAATAACCCGGTCAAAAAATGGGCAGAAGAGCTAAAAAGAAACTTCTCTGAAGAGGAAATGCAAATGGCCAACAGGCATATGAAAAATGTTCAACATCACTTGTCATCAGGGAAATGCAAATCAAAACTACCATGAGATACCATCTTACACCAGTGAGAATGGCACATATTAAAAAAACTAGCAACCACAAATGTTGGCGAGGGTGTGGAGAAAAAGGAACTCTCCTGCACTGTTGGTGGGAGTGCAAACTGGTCCAACCACTGTGGAGAGCTGTGTGGAGATTTCTGGACCTACTAAACATAGAGCTTCCATATGATCCAGCAATTCCACTCCTAGGTATTTACCCAAAGGACACAGAAACATCCATTCCAAAGAACACCTGCACCCCTATGTTTATAGCAGCACTGTTTACAATAGCTAAGCTTTGGAAACAACCCAAATGCCCAAAAATAGATGACTGGATCCAGAAGATGTGGTACATATACACCATGGAATATTACTCAGCATTCAAAAAAGATAAGCACATGCAATTTGCAGCAACATGGATGGCGCTGGAAGGTATCATGCTCAGTGAAATAAGCCAAAAAGAAAAAGAAAAATACCGGATGGTCTCACTCATAGCAGGAATCTAGAAAACTTAAATAAGGGACCAGGAAAATGAATAACTATAAGAAAGTGAAAATCAGAATCAACAAAAAACTATGAAACAGAGACACTTTTGGGGGATGGGGGGCGGGAGGGGAGGGATTGGGATCAGAAAGGGGGGGTTGCAATTGTATGGGGAATATAAAAATAAAAATTATTATTTAAAAAAAAATAAAGATATCTGATGACTAAAAAAAAATAAATAAAAACTTTCCTATACAAGTTTTTGTGCAAGGATATATGAGGAATGGCTGGATCACATGGTAGGTAGGCATATGTTTAACTGTTTTCCAAAATGATTTTTCCATTTTCCATTCCCATCAGTGTAACAGATTCCGATTACATGTGTTAACAGGAATCGGTACTATATGTATGACAGACCCAGATTTGTTCCTGTATCCTTAGTTCTAGGAGAGTCAAGTCAGAGAGTTCCATAAAGACAGATCATTAGGCAGTTTCTTCAAGGGGGCAGTTGCTCTATTCAGTTTTAAAAATTAAAATGGGAGTCTTCCAAAGTTCATAGAAAAATGCTCTTCAGATTGTTCTGTGAGATAGTCTGACCCAAATGTGAACTGAACTATTAGAGCAGTAAGAAGAATGCCTAAGACATTCAAGGTAACAACAGGAGAGTCATAGATGTGCTTTAGCTTTTAGAAGATAATCAAACTACAAGTGCAATTTCTTAGTTACTTTGGTATTTAATAATACTGCTAGATAAAAGTTTAGTTATATATGGAGTTCTATATCTAGATTTCAAATATACTCAGACACAAATTTCCCTGTATCTAAATTCTTGTAGTAATAAAGGTACATTTACTAAACTCAATTACATAAATGAGAGCACAGAGCCAGACATCCTTGGTTTAAATTCTGGCTCTACCTAACTTGGTGAGGTTGAATATTTCTTGGTGCCTCAGCTTTCCTTTCTATAAAAGTAACACCACTGTCACATGGTTGTTGTGTGCAAAACACTTAGAACATTTACACTTGAGCTTAGCTAACTAAAAGGCTGAGAAGTGATAAAACACTTAAAATAGCATTAATTTTAATTACTGCCATACCTACTAATAACTATAATTGCCATTCTTATGCTAGAATGTCAGACAGATACATTGTTAATTCAATGCTAATATTCACAATGCCTACAACAGAAGTGGCACAGAGAAGAAATTCAATAACTTTCTTGGCAAAAATGTGATAGTCATGGTGATAAGACAATCAGTGATATGTATTACTTTATAAAACATATTATTATATTTATGATTTGTTATGAACTTATGAGGCAGATACTAATTGTCCTATTTACAAAGGAAATGGAGGTGTAGCTATTAATGAAGTAATTTGCTAAGGTCACACAGAACTTAAAAATTCAGATCTAACAAACTCTGAACACCATGGTCCATGCTGCTCTACTATTTCCTATTACACACTGAATTTCAGAGATGTCTTTAAGTAACTCTCTTTAAGTAATAACAGTGATCCTGCAAAACAACCTGTAAGGGTAATAAAGACATTTTAGCGACATTATCCAAACTTGCATTTGTAAGAACAGAAATAGTTACTTTTCCATAACTATTTGTATCATAAAATGAATATATCCTTACCATTGGATTTAGTTGACTTTGGAGTTGAAATAGCAGACCTCTTAGAACTGGGGACCACTGGAAGACCATCTCTGTATTATAAAAAAAAAGAAGAAGAAGAAGAAGAAGAAAAGGCAATTGTAAATTTAAGATGTTTAAGTATCTTTCAAACTATCTGCTAAATATTAAGCTCCAGGAGTTTTGTATAGGTGTCAGGAAATCTAGGTACCCATTAAAGTTGTAGATAAACTTTTATTATTCTTCATTGTTGAAAGAACAGAAGCTACAAAGAAATGGGAAAATATGCCCTGTTTATGAATTGGAAGAATCAACATTGTCAAAATGGTCATTCTACCCAAAGCAATACCCAGATTCAACACAGTCCCAATAAAAACATCAGTGGTATGTTTCAAAGAACTGGAGCAAATATTAGTGAAATTCATATGGGCTCATAAAGCCAGACTTCTCAGCCCATCTCATCTCGCTTTGACTAGCAAAAGCAATCTTGACAAAGAAGAAAGAGAATGGAGGTATCACACTTCCAAGATCTCAAGTTAGAGTATCAACATAAAGCCATAATAATGAAAACAGCCAGGTACTGGAACAAAAACAGACACACAGACATGGAATAGAATTGAGAGCCCAGAAATAAACACAAAATACGTGGACAACTAATCCATGACAAAGGAGCCAAAAACATACATTGGAACAAGGACAGTCCCTTCAATATATGGCACTGGGAAAACTGAAAAAGCATGAAACTAGACCATGATCTCATACCATGCACCAAAATCAACTCAAAATGGATTAAAGGATTTGATGTAAAACCTGAAAACACAGAATACATAGAAGAAAACATAGGCAAACATTTCATGACATGAGCTTTAGTGATGCCTTTAGGGATTTGCTCCTGACAACTAAGTAAACAAGAACATAAACAGTTGGGACTACACCAAACTTTAAAGTTCCTGTACAGTGCAACAAACCATAACTGAAATGAAAAGACATCCTATTGAATGGGAGAAAATACCTGCACACCATATATGTGACAAAGGATGGATATCAAAGATATACAAAGAAATCATAAAATACTACAAAAATAAAACAAATAACCCAATCGAGAAATAGGCAAAAGATACTAGGGGAAAAGCAAAGCATTGGTACTCCATAGAACCCATTGCATTGATAGAGATTAGTCACTTGAATTAAATATACCAAGGGCAGTAGATTTTGCCATCTTCATTTTACAGCTGTACATATTAAGACATCACTGTTCAATAACGTGCACTCTATTGTCATGAGAATTAGCGACAGACCAAAAAATGAAATTCCCATGGCCTCAGTTCAAGATCAACTCTCCCAAACTCTTTAACACTGTGAGAATATAACATCAAGGGCAAATGTTATTTCCCCAACAAAACAGAAGAGTAAATCAGCAAATCTACTTTCTCCCTACCCTGGAGGCAGGAGTGGGGATTGGGAGTTGGGGCGGTGAGGGTTGGGGGAGAAAAAGAAATAAAAAGAAATAGGCAAAAGAACTAAACAGACACTTTTCTAAAGAAGACAATCAAATGGCCAGCAGGCACATGAAAATGTTTGCAATCACTTATTACTAGAGAAATAAAAATCAAGACCACAATGAGATACTATTCCATACCTGTGAGAATGGCCCATATTGAAAAGACCAGAAATTAGGAGTAATGGCGAGGATGTAGAGAAAAGGTGGGAAAGGAAGCCCTCCTACACTGCTGATGGGAATGCAAAGTAGTACAGCCCTTATGGAAAGCAGTATAGAGGTGTCTCAAAATAGTAAACAAAGATCTGCCATTTGATCCAGTAATTTCATTCCTAGGCATCTATCCAAAAAATTCAAAATCACTAATTTGAAAGGAAACTTGCACTTTGATGTTTATTGTAGTACTCTTAACTAGAGCTAAACTATGGAAACCATCTAAAGGCCCCAGAACAGATGAGTGGATCAAAAAGATGTGGTATATATACACAATGGAATACTACTTAGCAATCAAAAGATAAACTCATGCCATTTGTGGCAACATGGATGGTGCTTGAAAGGATAATGTTAAGTGAAATAAGTCAGAAGGAGAAAGATAAATACTGGATAATGTGGAATATAAAGTAACTAAATTAATATTCAGATAAAGACAAGCTGAAAAACAAACCCTTGGGAGCTAACTACAGAAGAGGGGGCAGGAGAAGGGTAAGAGCAAAGAAGGAAGGATGCACAATGGCCTGTGGTGCTGGAATATAGGTAAGATGGTGGTGAGTGCACTACAGTGGTGATACCTGATGTCGGTACCCTAATATTACCTCGGTTAAAAATAATTAAAAAAGAAAAGTGACTTATGGAAACTGATAGACAAAAAAAACACAAAACAAAACAGGAAAGCATTTATTTCATCTAGCAGATGATACAATGTGAATATTCATGCGTAAAGCCTTTACTAAAGATACTCTATTTGAAATATTTAATAAAAATTTTTATTGGTCTTCAAATATGTTTATTTCTGGAGGGAGATATTCTTGCTCCAAAAAGATCAAGAATAACTTATTTTGTATAATTTTTCTTTGGGTTTCAGTTCAACACATTACACTATTTCCCCTCAATTTAAAAGACTAATGATATTTAAGATCTATTAACTCAGTTCACTGTCACTTAGGTGATAGTTCAGAGATGACACTTAGAAGTCACAGATGGCCACATTTCATATACCTAAAGTCCTTGATGCATGTTTTTCTTTTAAATTACTTACAATGACAATCTAGATAAGATATTTATATTCAAAGGACTACAAGAATTATATTACCCAATGTGAAAACAGGTCACAAAGAGCAACACTGAAAAGACAGGGCAGGTATGAAATCTTATTAGTATCAATACTTGAGAGAAATGGGAGGTAAGTAGTGCTGAGAGAATTTACTGTGGGCCCTAACCAACTCTTTATGTTATTTGCTGGATGCTGCATAAATATAGGGCCCTGACTGCTTTTTATCTGGGTTACTTCTTAAGGCTGTTTATGGTGAGCAAGATTGAGGAATGAAGTAATCTGTCTTTTCCAATCAACAGCAGGATTTCGTATAGGCCACCCTAAAGTGAGAGGTTCCCAGGCTCTGCCTACAGTATTCGTGTTCAGCCTATTGCATATGCAGAAATCCACAAGGGCCACTTGTGGCACTTAGAAGATGTGTGGAAGTGATATCAATACCAGGATGCTGCCTGCTGTGACGTTAATAATAAAGTTATTTTTGTCTCTACTCTAGGGATTTCATTTTGTCTTTTACCAGCAGAGTAAAATCTCAGACCTTTATAGTTCTTAGCATAAAGATAATTGCCATAAATACTGCTACTGCATGGATGGACTTGAAAGAGATCAGATGTACACAAGAATGGAGAGAGGACTGGAAGAACGAGGGAAAAGTAACTGTGACTACCAATACTTTACCTTTAGGGACTCATAATGAAGATAAAAGTAAAAATATGAAAAAGTGTGTTTGCAGGTCTGCAGTAAAGGAAGCTCTACTGATTTTGAGGTAAAAAGTTCAGCTAGATATATGATTAGCAGAAAGATAGTCACAAAAATACTTTCCAGATTGCTTGAGGAATTACCTCTCCCACCAATTAATATTCACCTATACCAATGGAAATAACTGTATGTCAATCTGATTTTTAAAAATATATGTGGGAAAGAAATCACGGAGTACATTCAAGGAAAAAAATATACAATGTAACTTAAAGGTACAAAGGGAATGAATTAGTATATTATCAAATGGTTTAATTAGTAGTTCCATACATAAAATTCATCATGTTTCACAGATACAAATGTGAATTTTTTCTTCATATAAATCTGTAACCTAGAAAGCCTAGGTTCACATACACTGTGACAGGCAGAATAAATGGCTCCCAGAAATGTGCACATTTTAATCCTTGGACCCTGTGAATATGTTACTTTATAGGGCAAAAGGACTTTGCAGATATAATGAAGTTAAGGATTTAGAGACAGGATTATCCAGAATTGTCTGGCTGGGTCCAAAGTAATTACAAGGGTCTTTATAAGTGAAAAAAGGAAGGTAACAATGTCAGAGTCAGAGAATAATAGGAAATTAATGGAAAGTTTTTCAATTTATTTCCATTTATAAGTGCAAGAACTGTTGTTATTAGAATTTTTTTTTTTAATAATATGAAATTGATACGAGATACAGTGAATGTGTTAGTTCCAAGCCCACTAGTAACAGACAAGAGGTGCAGGTAGGACAACTCCATTCCATTTCTGGGAATGGGCCAGGGCTGTCCTGGGGCTAATCAATATATTCTTATCCTTTGCATCAATTTGGACTGCCCTGAATTTAAGTGTAAGCAATCAGCTTAAAGTACTTATTTTACCATAGTGACTGGTGAGAGTTGTTTGAAGACTACTCTGGTTGGTGTGGTATTCAGGCAGGAGGCAGCAATATGATGTGGTAATTTTACTAACATGAAGAAACCCATTATTCTTGAGAGAATAACAAAATAGCAAAAAAACTGAGCCAGAGCCCTATCTGATTCTGATGAGCATCATATCTTCGGACTTTTTAAATCACAAAAGTCAATAAATTTCTTGTCTTGTTTAAACCAATTTGATTTGCATTTTGTTACTCGTAATTGAAAGCATCCTAACTGACAAAAGATGCTAACTAGTCTACCGATGACTGCAAACGTGTGTCCCAACACGAATCCACTTAAAGTGCTCTCAGAATCTTCTATGAGGAAGTCTTAACTTAGCACTAACTCCTGCCAATGTAATCTATAAATTATTAATTTAGGAGTATCTTTTAAAGAAAACCTGGGTATAATCAATAGCCTGAAATGCACATAAGCACACACAAACAAAATCCACAAATAATTGGAGAGTACCTTGTTGCTTTTAGTACCACTGAAGGAAGTGACATGTCTAAAGTTCTCTTAGTTTCTTCCAAGGTCATTCCTTGTGTGCTGACTCCATTCACATAATGGATGATGTCTAATAGTTGGAGATTACCCTCAATGGCTGCAGGTGACCTTGGATTGATATCACTGATATACACCACTTGATGAAGGCTGTCAAGCCCTCCTGATAAGGAAAAACCTTCAGGGAGAAGAAAATATTTGTTTCCTTAGTCTTAAGAGCACTTAAAATCCAGCCAAAAAAAAAATCACACCACAAAAAGCTTGAATTTGAGTTACCCAATTCTTCGTTTGTGCACATTAATGTAATGTCAGGTAGCAAGTGAGGTAGCACTGGCATCCTGGGTAATTCTAGAATCCGTCCAAGAACTATTCTGACTGTTTTGGGTGCAGCTCTGAGGAGATTCACTGCATCTGTGTGAGTCATATTTGTAACATCGGTATCATTAACCTACAAAAATGAGAAAGGGGCAAAGCAGGATTATAAGCTTTGGAACACAGACATTGCCAATAAAATACAGTAATGTTCCTATCTATTTATATAATATATATTAGGCAGTGTAAGATGCATAGTAAAGAATGGTCTTGAGTTTATTATTAATCTCCTTTATCATAAAAATCATAAGCATAATAATCACTTAAATATAAAGAAATAATGTAAAAAACATTTAACACATGCATCCTTAGTTTGCTAATATATTAAATTTATTATATAATGTATAAATTATATAACTTATAAATATATGTATATGTAATATACTTATTAAATATGAGATAATTTATATTTAATAAATTTATTATATATGTATTTTATAATTATAACTTATATATCATATATAAATAAGATATAAATAATTTATTTTCTTTCCCTGAGATGCAGGATGGCTTGTAAAGCCATAACTAAGATTAGAGGAACTGCCAAATTAAAGAAGAGATCTTGACACATTTCCCAAACTGTTAACTTACTTTGAAGTGAAGGAAAACATAAATTACACAGAGACAGAGTGTTATTAACTCAACCTTCTTGTTCTGTCTTCTTCAATCCTAACTTGCCTCTAGCTGCATTCGCACAAATCCATTTCACTTAAACATCTCACCTTTATGAGCCGATCCCCAGGTTTTAGTCTTCCATCACTTTTGGCTGGATCTTGAATGACATCATGAACATAACAACCAATGCTCTGACTGCCTTTGGTTACTGTAAAACCCAGGCTTCCTTTTTCTGATTTAATTAGGGTAATGAGGAGTTCTACTTCCTAAGGGAAGAAAACAATGACTCATTTATGTTGTCTATTTTGCCCTATGGAAAAACAGAAAGAGGACCTCCATTTCTGTTGAATAACAGGAAAAGGAAACCTTAATAGGGCACTAAACTTGCCTGAGTGAAGATGCCATGTCTAACTTGACTCTAAATAGAATACTTCCTGCCTCTCCTCTGCCCACCATGTAAACCTTAGTTTTAAATATAACATATTGTGTTTGTCTAGAGATAGATGAGACAGAATTTACCTATGGCTCAATTTTTGTATTTTCAGGATAAACAAGGACACATGAGAGGTTATACTTTGATGATCAAAGAGTACTTTTGGGGAGAAGGTTCAGAAAAATTCTTCATGTATTTCTAAACTACGAAAATAGATGCCAAGAGTCACATCTTATTTTTGATAAAAGATTAATTCAAGGATTATTTTTACCCCACTGCTGAAATGAAAGATGTAGATGTTACACAAACATACAACCCACACACTAATGAATATTTATTACTTGGATAAGAAAAACACTATTGAAAAAGTCTGAATTTCAATGTAAAGAATATTATACATGGGGATTTGGCTTCAAATCAGAATTTATAGGTTGAACTTTAGTATAATGTAAGGATTCTATTTGGGTTCACACATACAAGTGTGGAGGAGAAAAAAGTACATTCAAACTGATAAAAAATTAAATAGGTAACCCAGAATTTGGGAAATGAAAATCTTTACTCTCTACTCTATAGCAGGTACTAAATTATGTGTTCTGTATATGTTACTTCCTTCAATCCTCACAATTCTTGGAGATTTTAGCTCCATTTTATAGCTGAAGCTATTAAGACTAAAACTTAAGTAATTTTGTCCAAACTGCCAAATCGCAGTAAGTGACTGATAGAATCAGGATTTGATCCAAGGGCTTTTTGCCCTTTCCCCTTTATTTATCAGCAAAGAAACATACTAGCTATGTTATCCATTTACTGGAAAAAGAAATGAAACTACTCTAAAAGACAGCCTTTTCCCTAACTAAAAGGAAACTGTGCATATACATGATACTTTGAGAAAATACGGAGTTTTCTTATCACAGAGGAAACAACTCACCAGCTCAAAATCTTCAAGGTGGGTTTCCAAATCATTTTTCAACGATGTCAAGCTTTCTTGTCTAGTTGGTTCAGAAGTATGATGTAAATGATATTTATCCATTGAATTCGAGGAAGCAGATTCTGACTGGAGTTGACAACTCAGCCCAGCAGCCACATCCAGTGGGAGAGGGAAGGGTGGATTACTACAGAGACAAAGAAGCAAGACTATTTTCAAACACATTTTGAAGTCAATATAGTAAGTATGCCTCACAAACAGAAAATACTTAGCTAATTCATGCCTACTTTTGATGGAAATCCTAGTTACTTTTTGTCTGAACATGAATTCGCATCTGTTATGCTGCTAATAATATTGCCATTTTTTATTTTCTGCCCAGGTTCTATTTTCACAAAGCTCTTTAAATGGCATAAAATAGTAATACCAGTTAAATGAACTTAAAAATCAATTGCTAGCGCTAATTCAAGACTGAAGCTAACGTTGTCAGATTTCTAATGCATATTTCAACATAAGACAAAGAAGAAATAAGAATAAAGGTCTTAGGGGCCTCCCTGGTGGCGCAGTGGTTGAGCGCTGGGTTGCGAAGCTGCCCGCAGCCTTTGCGGCGCCGGTTTGATCCCTGGCTGCTCCCCGGCCACCGGAGGAGGGTCCCGCATGGCGCACAGACCTCTCCTGCCACCCACTGCTCCCCTCAGCAGTGTACTTCGGTCCTTCTGCCTGCTCTGCTCCCCGCTCTGGCTCTGGTGAATTCTCTCACCCTCCCATGCTTCTGACTGTGCCCAGCGCTTGTATGTATGTATGTATGTATGTATGTATATATGTATAAATAAATCTTTAAAAAAAAGAATAAAGGTCTTATTTCTATGGTATTTTGTATGATAAAATAGGAGAAAACAAACCAACAAATGTGGCTGGACTTGGATATACAAAGATAATATTAACCAAACAGTAAAATGTAGGAATAACTACTAAAGGTATAGATGTAGTCTTTTTCTTTGTATGCATCTATGCTTCCAATCATTTCTTCTTTCCCCAGCTTCTGTACTCTTCTAATGTCCTACCCTCTTCCTCTTCATAACTTCCCTTTTTATTTCTGCTCCCTCCTCGCTCATCCTTCCACTATTTAAATAGATCTCTTTCTGTTAAATGGTATGAATACATACAAATAACTTACATACAATCCTAATGAAAAGGCAATCAAAGCTAAGGCTTAATGGAGAGAGAGCTTACTGGTTTGCTAACTAGAACTGTCAGTTACAATAACCAGAGATCAAATAAAATATCATTAACCTTAATTACTATGAGGGTCACATACACATTTCATTTTTAGAGAAATGGAGGTTACTGTTTCTGTAGTTACAACAGTTGCTTTGAGTACTACACATAATATTGACAATACCTGTCCTCAAATTCTGGTTTATTTAGTGTTTTCTGTGGGTAATAAAACATGGTAGAAATAGTATCTTCTTGACGCTTGGGCGCTCCATGATGACTTTGCCCTTGTGATGCGATGTTGTTTAGAGTCTGGTGTAAAGTTGAATTCCAGCTCATATTTGGTTTCTTTGCTGCAACTTTCATCATGTCTTCTTCTCCACTCCCACTGCTGTCACTATAACTATCTCTCTTGGATGGGGATGTGCATTGTTTCATGTTTTTGTCAGACATTTCATTTTCATCTGAGTTGATGCCTTGCTCCACACCTGCCGGTTGAGAAGGGTCTTTATTGCTGTTTGGAAGTCCTTGTGCTGGAGAGTGCAGTGGGGTCTGCAATGGAACATTTAAGCAGATCAGAGTGTGACAACTTTTATAAACATGAAACATTTACCTGAAAATGAACATGTTGAACAATAACACATTTTATTGAAGTAACATTGGTTTATAACATTATTTGGGTTTCAGGTGTATAGCTTCATAAATCAGCATTTGTACACACTACATTATGTTATCAAAAGTCTAGTTTTCTAGACATAGTACTTTTCATTAATATATTCATTTAATTTTCTGATAATAAATTTCTGATAATAATTTTCCAGTAATTTAAGTTCACTAGAGAAAATATATATAAATTCCATAGATAAAAATAACTGTTAACATTGTATGACATTTTAAATCAAAATTAGAATTTTATATATATAGTATATAGTACTGTATGTATACTATATAGTGTATATAGTGTATATAATAGTTTGTATTCTACTTTCAAAATTTAGGATTTTATGAGTATTTTCTGATGTTCTTAAATATGCTTTGATAACAACTGCATTTAACTCTATAATGGTCACACAGATGGCTGTAACTTCAATTTATTTCAGAATTCATCTTTTATTGGAGACAGAGTTGTTTTTACTAATAAAAATCTAGGAGAACTTCTTTGCAGATTTTCATCTGACTTTCTGATTATTTCCTTTTATTTTATTTTTTAACGTTGCCAGCATATAGGATGTTGTTAAAGTCCTTGTTAAATATTTCCAGGAAAACGGTATTAATTCATCTACTAACCAAGAGCATTATACTTAGTTTGTACTATTTGGTGCTATAATGAAGCTTATAGAAATTTTTCTTTCCTATTGATTGTCCCTATAACACTGCCCTCTCCCCTCTCCTCTCCATATATCAGGACAATATACTCCTGTGTTTCATGCTCAGGAGTTAGGTTTACTGGTGATGAAACACTATTTTAAGTAGACAGGCTGAGGTTCTCTTTCTTCAATTATATTATTATTCATTTATATGATAATGATTCCTAGTTATCAGTATGCAATTTACAAATAACCATCAAAATAGATGTTAGATGTTAGGTCCTTCAGTTATTCTTTGATAATAGGAAGGTAAATGTACAAACATATCCCTTATTCTGTGATTTCTAGAGTTAAAATTAACAGCAAATCTTAAATAATTCTTATTTTATCTAAATGAGCTCAGAATGAGAATTACTTTTCCCATTTTGATTCAATGAAGAAATGGACAAAAGTTTTTGGTAACCATTTCATGTCTTTTTCTATATAAGATATCATAATATTGTATTATAAGTTATTTCTGTGCTTAGAAAACAATTTTCCAAAATCCTAGCTTTCTAGAATTGGAAGGAAGAGAAAAGAAAGTGAATTGAATTACTTTAGATTATAATATGGAATGCATTTAAAGGTCAACACACAAGATAATTCTCCCAGTTAAAAAAGTAACTGGGTATGAAATCCAGATCAATCAATGCCGACAATACTATAGATAAATTAATCACCCAGTTGATACTCTATCTAAATATAATTACTTTTCATAGGTCTCACCAAAAGAGCACTGTCAATTTCTGGTAGCACGCCAGGAGGAGGTCTACAGAGAAGCAGGGATACTTCTGGAGATGTTCCTCGGAGAATAGATATGACTTCCTGGGAAAACCATGAATGACAAATGAAGACACAGTTAAAGCAGCATGATGAAACATTCTGAAATGTCAATCTTTCTTAATATTAAAAATACTATACTCTTTAAGATGGTGTCTCACCTGCTGAGACAGTCCTTTCAAGGAGGCTCCATTGACTTTCAAGATAACATCTCCCACATCAATTTTTCTACTTTCTGCTGCTGGCTGTCCAGGGAAGAGCTTTTTAACTCTTACTATGGTGGTATTCATTTGCTCGGGTGTAAGATTATCTTCTCGAGAAAAACTGAATCCTAAGCCTGAGCTATTTTTAAATAACTTTACTTCAAATGTATTCTCTGAAGAAGAAAAAAAATTAATTTTCTTAACATACAGTGAATTCATATGAACATACAAACACACACTTTTAGAATATTATACCATTTTCTCACAATATTTACAGCTTTATATATGCTAGTTGCATTCTTACCCTGTTCTCAAATTTTACTTCACCCTCTCTATTATTAAGTAAACTAAACTTAATATACTAATCTGCCTGAAAAGAGGGTTCTGAAAAAGAAATTATACTTTAATCCCATGTGTTTTTAAAAAAGGGATAAACCCAGAGAAGGAGAAGAATGAGAGAAACTAGGTATACAATGGGAGACAAATGGTAAGAACAACAAAACAAATGTTAGAAAAGGGCACCGGGAGGAAGTTATCATGCTAACATTTTGGTGAGGGATGGTTTAATCTATTAAATTGAAATGGCATTATTATAAAATTCTCATCAGTAAGAGTTTTGGAAGAAATAAAAAGATAGCATAATGAGAAAAAAGTAGCCATGTTAATTTTATTTTCATTATTAGGAAAAATATACATGGGGCTATTTTTTTCCTCATTTTCAGGACAATTTATAGATGCTTACATTTATGTAATCAAATAAGGAATTAAAATAAGACAAAATAATAACTATATACTATCAATATCACTCATAAAATAAAGGACATACCTCTGAAGAGAAAGATGGACTCTTACTAATATTAATAGTCTATTTTATGAACAATTTATTCTTATAAAAACACTACTACATCATTCTTAATTTTCTTATTTTACTTCAATAGCAGCATATCCAAGGGTTGGTAAAGTTTGTAATAGTCCATAAAATTAAATAGAAAGAGAAAATGTATGTGTTACAGTCTAATATGGATTTGAAGCTGGTATTTATTTTTATTATTTTTTAAAATTTATATTTACTTTAATTTTTATTTATTTTTCCCTTACAAAATTCATTTCAAAAAAGAGATGAATTTACTAAAAATCAGAAAATAATAATTTCATTTTGAATTTTACAATTACTTAATGTGCTATTAAGTGATCATAATCTGTTTTACGCATAACTTCATTATCTTTCAGATGCTATGAGTTGCAAATATTTAAGTGCTGCATCAGAGTGTTATTAACCCTTGACATGAATACCACAAATAACATGGTATGAATTGTGATACAAAATATAACATCAAATTTTGAATAAATCAGGGATAATTTAAAAGTTAGATGGAATTTTCCTTATGGCTGACCTTCAGTGACAAAGCTGTAATCGTTGACAGCAGTTATTTTCTTGATCATTTTGTCATCTGGATTTGGAAGAGTACATTGTGGGGTTATAGAAACATGGTCTTTAGGTGCTGGAGACTGTCCCTTTTCTAACAACAGATGAACCACCTGGACAAATGGAACAGCACTTCATTAATAAAAATAATTATAATGAAATAGATAACATTTTCAAGACTTTGTATAGTTAATGCTATAAAATCATTTAATGTAACTACCTGGTCCACCAAATTATAGTTAGAATGAGAAAAAAACTGAGTGACCAAAGCAAAGGTTTAGAGATTTTAAAATCAAGTTTCTACTCTAAAAAAGAAAAATGGCTTAAAGTAAAAACACTATTATAAAAATAACAAACATGCAATAAAATTTTGGTGTTAGAATAAAACCGTCACTGTACTATGAATATAAAAGATCAATGTAGTAAAATAATTATGAAAATGTGATCAATCCTGACTAAAATTTATTAGAGTAAATGAATTTAGCTTTTGGGCTAAAGAAAGATTGTGATTGAAAATCACTGGAAATTCATAGACGTTTATGAAAAATTTCTAAATACAATCTGTACCTTTCCTCCTGTTAGAGCTCTTTGGTAATATTAGGGCTAAATGTAATATAGGAAGTCACTTTTTTCAGTAAAAGCATCTTGCTATAATACTTTTCAATTTGGAGGAAAAAACACCAGGATGTTTAAATGAATCATGTTTAGTTTGTTGTCTAATACGTTTGGAGTTCTCAATGAGAATGATTATTCACACATATTATGTTCCTTTCAGGGCTCTTAAAAGGTTGGTGTAATGATTTATTACCTGTCCTGTATTTCTCAGTGTTTCCACAGCTTGCTTATGGGTAGCTCCTTCCAGACTAACTCCATTGACAGCTAGGACACGATCACCTGTGAATTAGGCAGCAATTTTGAATAAAGCAAATTATAAAATAAAGATTCTACATGGTCTTTAATGTATTGTGGTTTTAATTTGTATTAATTTGTTTGAGGGGAGACAGAAAATTCTGGACAAAATTATCTCACTTAGTTTCTTTAGAATATATTTAATTTCTATCTCATTTCTATGGCTAATATTAGGTACATTTCAGAAAAAGATATTGTACATACTACAAAATCAGTTTTAAGTCATGGTAAAAGATAACTGAACCATAAATATAAGGAGATTGTAGGAAAGTCCCTAGTTATTATTAGAAATGTAGATGTCAGTGTTTATACAACGGTACTATTCTTTTTCCATTCTTTAGAAATTTGCTCCTCTGAACAAAATAAGAACTAGACACTGTCAAGGTATCTTTGATACTAGAAAATGTATTAGGAATAATGCTGAGGTTTTTATGTGATAACCTGAAAATGACTGCACTGAAATCAACAGGGAAACATCTTCTTTAAGATGTCTTTAATGATACACTAGACCAGATAAATATAACAGATATATGCAGAGCATTGTATTTAAAAAGCAAAATATACACATTCTTTGAAGAGCATATGAAGAATTCTCAAGGACAAATCATGCTGGGAAATGAAACACCTAAATAATCTTAAGAAGATTAAATTCATACTAAGAATATTTTTCTGACCACAATGGTATGAGGTTAGAAAGTAACTACAAAAAGAAAGTTGGAGAAAACACAAATACGAAGAGATTAAACATTTAAATGAACAACCAATGGGTCACTGAAGAAAGTAAAGGAGAAATACAAAAAATCTGGAAACATGAAAATGGAAATATACATACTAGAATTTTGGTGATGTAGCAAAAACAGTGCCCAGAGGGAAGTTCATGACAATATAGATTCACTTCAAGAAACATGAAAAATTGCAAATAAATAATTTAACACTACACATAAAGGAACTAGAAAAAGAACAAAGTTAAAAGTCAGTACAAGGAAGAACATAATAAAAATCACAGGTGAAATAGACTACAACACAACAAAAATACAAAAGGTTAATGAAATGGAGAGCTAGACATCTTTTGGGGGTAACAAAGTTGATGAACCTTGGACTAGACCCATTAAGAAAAAAAGGGGAAAGACTCAAATAAACCAAAAATAAAAGATGAGTCTTTACAATGGATACCACAGAAATACAAAGGATCATAAGGGACTAGTATGAATGAATATCTCTATGTCAACAAATGGGGCAACCTAGAGGAAACCTAGATACATTGCTTGAATTGTACAACATCCTACGATTAATGAAGAAACAGAAAATCTGAACAGACCTATCACAAGTGAAGAAATGAAAACAGCTATCAAAACCTCCCAAGAACCGTAAGTCCAGGACCAGATGGCTTCACTGGTATATTTGACCTAATGTCCAAAGAATCCTTTTGTACTCTTCCCAAAAATTGAGGAGAGATTTCTCTTTTCATGAGGCAAGTATAACACTGATACCAAAACCAAACAAGAATAGCACACAGCACAAAAAGAAAATAATAAAGTTCATAATCTCTGATAAGTAAAAATGCAAGGTCCTCAACAAAATATTAGCAAATAGAATTTAAGAATACATTTAAAAGATCATACAACATGAACAATTGGGGTTTATTCAGGATGCAAGGATAGTTCAACATAAACAAATTCATCAACATGTTTCACTAAATCAACAAAAATAAAAGGTAAATATCATATGGTCATATCAATAGATGCAGAAAAGGCATTTGATGAAATTTGCCTTCCATTTATGACTAAAATAGGGCCTCCCTGGTGGCGCAAGGGATTAAGATGCAATCTATGAAGCTATCCACAGCCACTGTAACACAAATTCAATGCCCTGAGCCGGGGAGCTACCCACATGGCGCAACAGACCTCTGCTTATTTGCCCGCTGCTCCCCTCAGCAGTGTTTTTCGTCAGTCTGCCTGTTCTGTTCCCCACTCTGTCTCTGGTAATACTCTCACCCCCCACACCTCTGGCCTGTACCCCAGTTCTTGTATGAATAAATAAATCTTAAAAAAAAAATAAACCCACTAGGAACACACTTTTAAAGGTAATAAAGGCCACATATGACAAACTCATAGCTAGTATCACATTCAATGGGGAAAAACTAAAGGCTTTTCCTCTAGATCAGGAACAAGGAAGCCAACTCTCAATAGTATTATTTAACATAGTATTAAAAGTACTGACCAGACCAATTATGCAAGGAAAAGAAATAAAAAGTATCCAGATTGAAAAGGAAGAAGTAAAACTGCATATAGATGACATATTATTCATGAAATACCTTAAAGACCACCAAAAAGCTACAGAAATAGTAAATGAAGAATGTAAAGTTGCAAGCTAGAATCAGCAGGTTGTGCTACTGTACACAGTAAAATAGGTAAAAGGGAAAATAAAATAATAGCATTTATGATTTCATCTAATAACATACCTAGGAATAAATTTAACAAAGAAATGAAGGACTTGTCCACTTAAAATTATAAAACACTGTTGAAAAAAAGACTGAGAGAACACAAAAAAAAGAAACATATTCCAAGCTCATGGATTAGAAGACTCAATATTGTCAAAATGGACATTTTACCTAAAGCAATAAACAGATTCAACACAACTCCTATTCTGATCCCCACATAAAGTCTGGGCCTTGCAGAGTCCCACCACCACCTAACACCAGCAAACTCCAGCTGCTCTCAGTGAAGAGCTCCTCACCCCAGGCACATCCACAAGTGCCTTGAGAACCTGCATGGGTCCCAATTTGACAGCTCAGGTCCCTGCCTGACAGTGGCAGCAATCTCCAGTAAACCTTCAGTGAGCACTCAGGCCTAATGCGGTAGGGGTGGAGACCCAACTAGCAAATGCCAAACCCATAGCAGTGAGGTTCTGAAAGCAATGGGGAGGCGGAATAATATAATAAACAGCCATAGTTGTTTAAGGGGTATGCCATACCAAAGAGAGAACAAATCTTCAGAACCAATCATAAAGAGACAGAAGATCCGTTCCTTTATCAGACACAGAATTTAAGCATGCAATCATAAAGAAATTCAAAGGAATCAGAGAAGGCTCAGAAAAGTGGATCATGTATATAAGGAAAATACAAAAGAAATGAAGTTCTGAGAAACATAATCAAGAAACAGAGATTGAAAATGAAACTCTAAAGAAGGAAATAAAGAGCTACAGGGTGAAAAAAGATTTAAATAAGAGGTGAAAAATACTACAGAAAGCTGCAGAAATAGAATAAACCAAATGGAGGATATAACACTTATGAATATGTACTCACCCAATAAAGGAGCACCAAAATATATCAGATACTCTCACCAATAGACAAATCAATGAGCCAAAAAATGAATAGGGTCATAAAATCTTTAAACAAAAAATTAGACTATATGGACCTAACAGACATCTATAGGAACCTACACTCTCCAAAAACAGAACACACATTTTTCTTACATGCACATGGCACATTCTCCAAAACTGACCAAAAGACAAATATTAACAAATTCACAAAGACTGAAATCATACCAAATTATCTTCTCAGTATCAGGGTAGAGATAAACTATAAAAAGAAAGCAGAGAAAATCTCTAATATGTGGGTAGTGAACAACACACTATTGAAAGACCTTTGGGTCAACAAGAAAATCAAAGAAGAAATTGTAAACTATCTTGAGGCAAGTAACAATGAGGACAGAAACTTCTGGAATGTATGGGACACAGCAAAAGAGTACTAAGAGGGAAGTATATAGCAACACAGGCCCATGTCAAGAAATAAGAAAGCTGACTGGATCAAGAAGATGTGGTACATATATACCATGGAATATTACTCAGCATTCAAAAAAGATAAACACATGCAATTTGCAGCAACATGGATGGCGCTGGAAGGGATCATGCTCAGCGAAATAAGCCAAAAAGAAAAAGAAAAATACCGGATGGTCTCACTCATAGCAGGAATCTAGAAAACTTAAATAAGGGACCAGGAAAATGAATAACTATAAGAAAGTGAAAATCAAAATCAACAAAAAACTATGAACCAGAGACACTTTTTGGGATGTGGGGGGCGGGAGGGGAGGGATTGGGGTCAGAATGGGGGGGTTGCAATTGTATGGGGAACATAAAAATAAAATTTATTATTAAAAAAAAAACAAAACAAAGTGAAGAGGCAATCTGCAGAATGGAAGATAGCTGGTTATGGGTTAATATTAAAAAAAATAAGGAACTCATATAACTCAATAACAAACAAATATTACAATTAAAAAATGGGAAGAGGATCTGAATACACATTTTTCCAAAGAAGCCAACATACATGTGAAAAGATGCTCAATACCCTTAATCATCAGGGAAAGGTAAATCAAAACCACAATGTAAGATACAGCACCTTACACATATTAGAGCTGCTGTTTTGAAAAGCAAGAGATGACAAGTGCTGGGCCTCCCCGGTGGCACAGCGGTTACACACTGGGCTGTGAAGCTGCCTGCAGCCTCTGTAGCACCGGTTCGATCCCCGGCCACCAGGCGAGGGTCCCACATGGCCGGGCAGACCTCTCCTGCCGGGCCTGCTGCTCCCCTCAGTAGCACACTTTGTCAGTCTGCCTGTTCTGCTCTCCACTCTGGCTCTGGTGAATTCTCTCACCCTCCCGTGCTTCTGACTATAGCCCAGTGCTTGTATAAATAAATAAATAAATAAATCTTAAAAAAAAAAAAAAAAAAAAGAGAGATGACAAGTGGTGACAAGTATGCACAGAAAGGATAACCCTTCTGTACTGTTGATGGGAATGTAAATTGGTACAACCACTATAAAAACAGGATAATGATTCCTCAAAAAAAGTAAAAATATAACTGTTGCATGATATCTGTACCGCCCTGTATATGCAGCATTATTTAGTATAGTAGAGAGGTGGAAACAACTTCAATGTTCAATACAATGATGAATGAATGATAAAGAAAATGCAGTACTATATGGATGGAATGTAATATTATTCAACCATAAAAAGAATGAAATCCTGCCATTTTTGACAATATAGATGGGTCTTGAAGGCATTATGCTAATTAAAGTAAATCACAGAAAGATAAAGTATTACATGTAGAATCCACAAAAACCAAACTCATAGAAACTCAGAGTAAATTAGTGGTAGCAAGGAGCAGAAGGGTGGGTAAAATGCTGACTGTGGTCAAAGGGCACAAGTTTCCATTTATAAGAAGAACAAGTTCTTCAAGTCTAAGGTATAGCTTATGACTACAGTTAGCAACAATGTATTGTATACATGGAAGTTGCTGGGAAGAGAAAATCATGAAAAGTCCCATCTCTCTCTCACATACACAAAGGTGTGAATGAAATGAATGTGTTAACTGATTTTAGGGTATTAAATATTTTACAATATGTACATATAGCAAATAATCATGTTTATATGCCTTAAACTTATATAATGGTGTGTGTCAGTTATATCCTAATAAAGCTGGAGAAAAAGAAAAAAAAAATAAGAAAGCCCAAATAAACAACCTTGTCTTTCATCTTGGGCAATTAGAACAAGAAGAACAAAAAAATCCTAAGAGCCAATAGAAGGAAATAATAAAAATTAGAGCACAAATAAATGAAATAGAAAAAAAAAGCCCAAAAGATTGATAAAACCAAAAGCTGGTAATTTGAAAACAAACAAACAAACAAACAAAAAAAACCTGCCAGCAAGGCTCACTAAGAAAAAAAAGGGGGAAATGCATATAAATAGAAAAAAAAAAACAAAACAAAAGAGGAGATATTACATCATACACTGCAGAAATTCAGAGGATAAGAGATTACTATGAACATCTGTATGCAAATTTGTCTCCAGCAGCAAGGAAAACAAAAGGTAATATAAATACCTAGGACTACCTAAAACAAAAAAGCTTCTGTATAGTGAAAAGTGACTAATCAAAATAAAGAGACACCCTACTGAATAGGAGAAAGTATTTGCACACTATACATTTGACAAGGGATGATGTAAAAGATCCATAAAGATTTCATACAACTTAACCAAAAACCCAATCAAAAAATATACAGAAAAGCCAAATAGGCACTTCTCCAAAGAAGGTATGCAGATGGCCAGTAGGCACATGAAAAAATGCTCATCATTAATTATTATCAGGGAAATGCAAATTCCAACCACAATGAAGTTTTACCTCATTCCAGTTAGAATGGCTATTATCAAAAAGTCAAGAAATAATTAAGTGTTGTGGAAGATGTGGAGAAAAAGGAACCCTTGAGCACTGTTTGTGAGAATGTAAATTTGTGCAGCCACTACAGCAAACATTATGGAGGTGTTCAAAAAATTTAAATAGAACTAACTACTATGTGATACATTAATTCCACTTCTGGATAATTACCCAAAGAATACAAAAACACTAATTTAAAAAGATAAATACACCCTTATGTTCACTGCAGCACTATTCACGATAACCAAGATATGTAAACAATGTAACTGTCTGACATGGATGATTGACTAGATAAAGAATATGTGGTATATATACTCAATAAAATACTACTTAGCCATAAAGAAAGGTGAAGTCAAGCCTCCCTGGTGGTGCAGCAGGTTGAGTGTCATGCTGTGAAACTGCCTGCAGCCTCTGCAGCATGGGTTTGATTCCCGGCCAGCCAAGGAGAAACCCACATGGTGCAGCAGACCTCTCCTGACTTGCCCACTGTTCCCCTTAGCAGTGTACTTCAGTCAGTCTGCCTGTTCTGTTCCCCACTCTGTCTCTGTCCTCTCACCCTCCTGCACCTCTGACCTGTACCCCAGTTCTTGTACAAATAAATAAATCTTTAAAAAAAAATTGAAGAGAAAAAAAAAAGAAAGATGAAGTCTTGCCAATTGTGACAACATGGATGGATGTGGAGGGGATTTTGTTAAATGAAGTAAGCAGAAGGAGAAAGATGAAATCTGTATGACTTTACTCATTTGTAAAATATAAAGAAAAATAATTAAAAAATGCAAGCAAACAAAATAAAAAGAAGCTATTACTCTGACAATAGAATGGTGTCAGAGTGTAAAAGAGAAGTAGCAAACAGGTGGAAAGGGCCTATTGTTTGGTGATGAATAATGACTGGACATTTAGTGATGGAAGTGCTTTGACATACGATTTCTGAGGTGACCAAGTACTCACTTGAAACCCCATGGTGTTATAAACTAAACTCAAAAAAATTGCGTATGTTTTTATCTTGTATTATGAATACTTGAAGATCTATATTAGCTTTTTAATTTGTTATCTATTTGTTGAAGTGATAATCATAATTACTATACACACACAAATACTATACCTTTGTGAATTCTACCATCAGATTCTGCTGCTCCCTTGGGAATAACAGCTTTCACATAAATGCCACCATGTCTAACACTGGTATTCACACCTCCCTAAGTGAAAAAAAACAAATAACATTTGTAATATGAGTAAGTTTGCACTGTGCCTTTCAGATCTGAACCCTAGAAAGAAAATATCAGCCAAAGCAACAGTGTTATATTAGCATGTAATATTAAACATTCAAGAATATTTATAGCTAAATGTTCCAAATGTCAAATCAGTTACCATTTAGAAAAAGTTTACTCAGAAAATAACATACCAGATCTTGACTATAACAGGAATTACTCTTCCTTTGTAAGTTTATATCATGCATTATGAGCAAGCAGAAAGCAAAGTCCATTTATGCAAAATTAGTATAGAAATATGATTATCACAAAAAAGCATATAAGATAATGTGCTTCAGATTATATTTGCTAATCTGAAGTCAAATTTCATGAGTTAAGGGCAAAAAAAATTTTTTTTTCATCTTAGAAGGCAACAGTTGAGAAATTTTGTTACCGGGTAGATGAGATGTAATGAGTAGATTCACTGTCAACTTGTGAATTGTTTTTATTTCCTTTCACAATAGGAAAATAGTAACTTTCTAAAGAACTTAAGGGCAAGAGAAAAAATGGCATTTTTAAAAGTACTAGAGAATTAGGGTTTCCTTTTGATCTCTTTATGTTAATAGTTCCATTTCTACCATGTCTCTAAATGTTTTTTTACAATGAAACCATTCTTTATATGTCATAAATATTGTAGTTTAGAATTCCAAACCAGAATTCTATGTAGAATTTTAACATGTCATCAAATAGTCTATGCTCATTATTTAGCTATTTTAAAAGTACATATATTCCTTGAGAACCTCTAATTTAAGAAGCTAATCACATTATAAAATATATTTCAGAGAAAAGGGGGCATATAAATATACATTAGACGCTATGACGTAGGTTAAACTGTGTTATGTCAAGCTGATGTAGCAGCAGTATAAAGTACACTTATTAATTTTATATTTTACAAGTTTTATGCTCAGATTAAATATGAAATCTATGGGGGAAAGGTAGCATTTATTAAATTTTTTATTAGGAAAAAGTGACTAGTAACATCCAAGTTTTTAAAGTTTTAAGATATGATTCCATTTTTAGATTTGGAAATATCTGAAAAGCCTTCCTTTTGAAGCAAAATAATTGAATTAATAAATTAGCATACAATAGCTATTGGAAATAGAAAAGAGAAAACATGTGAAAACCTTGTCAAACAGTACCGTGACACTTATTCCCAAGCTGTTATCATTTTTAGCCAGTTCAACCTCAAAGATATCTCCAGGTTTTGGAGGTGATGAAGTAAAAGTTTTAAAATTCATTTTGTTGGATGTATTCATTGAGGAGGTAGATTCCTTAACAGAGAAAAACAAAAGAAAAGGATTTTTATTAGAGTCAAAATGAGTTATTACTGGAAGATAAGATTTTTTTGGGGGAAAAATCGATTAAAAAACAAATTATTAAGGGATAAAATGGAATTAAAGAACATAAGGATTGGAAAAGATCTTAGAAATCATCCAATCCAATGTCTTTATATTTTATGGTTGAGGAAATTGAGGTTTATTTAGAGTTTATTTAAAGGGCTTGCTTCAGGTCAAATAACTAGATAGGGCAGATGCATGCCCAGAATGCAGTTAAAACCTGCCTTTACATAATCCCTGTGCAATGCTATTTACACTATCAAATTTAGAAAGTATTTCCATTTTCTTTAAAAAATCAAAATACACCAAACAGTAGCTTTTAACTTGGGCCTCTCAGATTAAGAGCCTTCATCTTTAACTTTGCTTACATTTACAAATCCAATATAAACATAGCCACAAGAGTCAGGTCCCATTTATAAGGGCCTAACTCTCTTATGAAGAATTTTGGTTTTTCAGTGAAAAAGGGCTTGAAGTTCTTTCTGAATCTGCTGGTTAATGGTGGTTAGATGTATATCATTTCTAGGAAGTCAGCGATTTTCTATTCTTATATCATATCTTCAGAACTTTTGGAGAATTTAGGCTATCAACTAACTGCCCATTATATGAGCTATTAAGGAACAATTTTTTTAGATATAAAAGTTCTATTATTAATATAAATACTAACTAGGCAAAAACAATTTGAAGAAAACAATCAATCCGTTTATTCATTTCTTTGTGTTATCAGTTAGCAATTTCCTAGAATAGCCATGTTAGAGTTAGTATTCAAAGCTGCTAATTTCTTTGAAAGTTAGCATCAAATGCAGTAGCAGTTAGTAGCATAATATGTAAACTATTCCTCTCCAAGTAGAACATAAGTTATTTATAGTAAATTATTATGTTCTGTGATAAATTTATTGTTGGCTGCTCTGTTAAATGATAAAAACAAAGATTCAAATCAAACTGTGCCTTTTTTGGTGTTTGATGATCCTGACTGTTGGAATAAGTGGCTTCATCCATGTCTGAATCTCCACGGTCAGAGTAATCCATTGCATCAGAAATGCCAGACTTTTTAACTTTGCTTAGATTACTGTCAATAGAAGTCCTTTTCCTTTCAGTGGACTTGGATATTACAGATGATGTAGGACTGCCATGCTGTGATTCCTGCCAGCTTCGTTCCCCAAGATGGCTGGCAAAGAAACCATTGACCTGGCTCTGGGACAAGCTGGCACTCTCAGTCCTAGAATCTTGAGAACTCAAGCTTCCTTCCCGCAGGCCACCAGGTAATCCAAAGGAGCTCTCTGAGATGTGCCTTGGGGTGCCACGTGGCCAATGGTGATCTTCAGAAGAATCTATAGCACTGTCTTGCATATAGGAAGCTTTCTTCAAGTAGTTTTTCATGCCATTGGCAATGTGCACTGGAGTAGAAGGCCCTAAAAGTCAAAGTTCATCAATAAGAGTAACAGGTCCGTGACATACATGCCCTGTGCTCACATACATATATAATGTTCCCCAATGATTGCTGGGAGTATTTTACACAGGTTTACATATCCACAACACCTGACCCGAGGCCTGGAACCACAACAGAGACCCAGCAATGTATAGGTGCCTTCTCTTTTCTTTACCTCCTCCTTTGTCATTCTTGTGGCAACATTTATTGAAATGTGTACTTCCTTTGCCTTAACTCCCCATTTCCATTCTCTAAGGCCCATTTTAAGTGAGTCTCCTTGGTGAAGACTTTGCTTCCCTAGCTAGAAATAATCTAGGTCTCTTTATATAATGATTATTTCTTGGCTGTTTTATAATGTCTTGCATGTTTTAGACCCTAAGTAATTATCAAGGAAGACAAAATCAAATTCCTTATATATATTTCTTACGAAATGCCTTAAGAAACGTTTAATATATAAGAAACAAATCATGGATGTGTGTAAAAGAATTACAGATGTGAATTTGTAAGAATTTAAAAGTTTTATGTAGCAAGCAAAACCAAGAAAAAGCTAAAAGAGAGATGAACAACTATAGAGAAAATAATTGTAACAGTAATAAAAAATAACCAGAGTTAATCGCCCTAATATACAGAGGGTTTCTAGAAGTCAGTAAGAAAGAGATTCAAAACTTTTAAGGAACAAGGACATGATATGTAGAATGGGAGTTCAGAGTAAAATACAAATAATTAGTAAATGAAAATATACTCTCACTGTTGCTCAGGGATATGCAATTTATTATAGCTTTCTATGTGTGGCTGATAAAAATGAGAATAACTGATTATTTCTCACACCAATGATGATGTAAGGGAAAGAACACTGTCATATTTACTTGGCTGACTACAAAACTGGTAACTTGGGCAAACTGTTAACACTCGTCAAAATTTAAATGTACATACATACTCTACTCCAAGGTATTCAATGGTGTGTAAAGTAGTAATTTTTTTGGAGCAGCATTTGTAACAGAGTAATAGCTAATCTGGATTGAAATGACAGAAGGTAGTTAGATATATTTTGGATATACCATAACATAACTATGCTATTTTAAAAAGGTGTATATACAAATATTTAGTAAAAGAAGAAACTCAGTCAAAATGATTTGCCTATATAAAATTTAAGAAATTTGTCCTATTGTATGAAGTGTTCATGTTGTTTCTATTTAACCATGTCTCTAAAGATATGCATGAAATTTACTATTTAAATTTGCTTTTCACAAATGTTTTATTAATTTTTTCACAGATTTTCTTTTTCATATTTTCCAGTATCACTGTGATTAAAGTAACACATATATTTGGCATTTCAACATTTCTGAAAAATACAGTTAATGAGAGCTTAAATTCATAGTTAAGTGCTTATGTCATACCAGTGCTGATTCTTTGCATATATTACCTCATTTAATGTTCACAATCTATACAGTAGACCCTTTTATATTCATCACTTGATATATGAACACAGTAGGCTCAGAAAAGTTTAGGTGATTTGCTCAAGATTTACAGGGTTAAGGATCCCTACTCTCTGCATCCCTTTCCACCGCATGTGCCGCAAGTATTGCTTTCACAAACACAATCCACCACCTAATCCTAGAGCAACTCTATGCAAGGCAGACAAGACAGTGCTGAGAGGTTCATCTCCTCTTCAAAGGAAAACAACTGTGGCTCAAGAGGATGAAATCATATAGCTAATAAAGGATTCAGACTCCAACTCAAGTCATCTAATCTCCATTAAGTACCTTTTCACCTAACAACATGCTAATACAGGTTCATGTGACAAAATGATATGACATTGTTTGTAACTGTCTTTTCTTTTCATTAGCTGGTTCAAGACAGGTAACCGACTTATATTAACTAGGGAATGATAAAGATTTCTATCTATAATTTGGCCTAAGAAGTAGTGGCACACTAAGTACTCAGAATTCACTTACGTGACATTCATTTTGCACACGAAATTCATTTTTGGACACCAAAATTCATTTTTGTACCTATATTACCAAGTGAAATGAGACAGAAGATCTTGGGAATAATGAATGAAAAATACTGATGAATAAAATTAAAACAAGCAGAACTACACATATCAAATTGCCATAATTCAAATTAATTACATTTCAATTAATTGCCTAAGGTATTGGACTCCTTGTGAAAGAGAAACAGAACACATAGCTATGGGACATTCACATTACCTTTGGATATATTTTCTTTTGGCTGAGAGATAACAAGAGTCACATCTTCGGGTGCATTTTGCAGGATCTCAATTGCAGCATGGTGGCTGACCCCTTCCAGACTCACGCTATTCACTGATATCAAGCGGTCTCCTGTAAAAATTGGCAATCCAGTATTTTCAACAACTAAGAGAAATTTAGAGGCTAAATCTTAGAAATGTCACTTATCCATTCCAGTACTTTTGCTTCCCTAAGTTCCACTTTGGTTATGTGTGCAAATTCATACTTATTAGTTAAATTCATACCTATTAGTTTGGTAATTCAGGAATTACCAAAATATAAAGTACTGTTCTGTACCTGGTTTTAAACATCCATCCAAGTCAGCTGGTCCTCCGGGAATAATTGAACTAATAAATATGCCTAGATCCAGTCTTCCCATCTTCTCACCACCAATAATTTGAAATCCTGTGAAACAGTGTATTTTAAAAAGATCTTCATGATAACTTGTGTTTTCAACGACAAATGATTAGCCTGCTTGACACATGAGAGTGTAGACTCACATACAAAATATGATTTACAGGTAACATATGAGATGAGATTTAGATTTGGTGGAAGTACATGCTTCCATTTCATCTTTGGCAATTCTACACATTTCATCTTTGGCAATTCTTGACTAGGTAGGTAGGATGAATGGGTTGTGGTTGGGCATTCAGTATCTTGATCAGAAGTGGGCTGGTGTCTTAATGCCAATAATATACTGTAAGTTTTTTTTCTCCTTTAACTTTCATAGACCTTTGTGAATCTGACAATGACTTACCTAAGCCATATTTTGCATCTTTTTTCAGGTTCACCAAGGTGATCTCCCTTTCTGGTGAAGACACTACGCTCCATCTTTTGTGTAACACATCTAGTAGTGGAAAAGTACAATTTTAATGTAAAATAAACATAAAAAATATAACATGCTGAGGCATTAAGACTGATCAGTTTAAATATTAACAAAGGTCACTAATCACTCAGCCACTCTAAAATTATCTTTTAAGTAATATAATGCCACAATCTTATGTTTTTCTAGTGATTCACAGTTTACAAAATGACTTATGACATTTGTTCCTCATCAATTACTCCTTGCAAAATAATTATATCTCAATTACAAATGAGTAACTCAAATTCAAGAAGTCAAATAATTTGAGTGTACTGACTCAGTTAATAAAGGCAAGAGCTGAGCCTTAAGTTTTCTGACTCCAGGTCTTTCTGCTGCATCAAATTTGACTCTCTGAATTTGATAATGCTCAATTTATTAAGAATTTACCACTAATAAGTGACTAACATTTTTACTTATAGAGTACAATATTCATAGTAAATTCTACAGTAAATAACAAGAAAATTAAATCTATTTAAAATTCCATTAATAATTTGTCTAGCACATTTTCATTCTCAAGTGCTTAGCACATTTTCATTTTCAAATTTATTTCTCATTGTAAAACAATCTCATGAGGTAGGTAGATTTTTAATCACTGTTTTGAAGATGAGGAATAATATTAGTGACTTGTTTGACATTGAGTAACACTGGCCAGCAAAATGCCTGAGTTCAGAACTTGGTAAATTCTAGTTAAATAGAGTGAATGTCAGCAGCAGAACTAGAAGTTACTTTTTCTTGTCCCTACTCAGAGATTTTTAATAAGTTGATGAATCACAAATATCGTTCAAATTAAGCCAACAAATATGTAACTGAACTGTCATATTAATAAAATTACTTTATCTACTTAGTAAAATGGACATTTACACACATACGGACACAATCTTGTTATGAACTGAACAGTGTCTCCTCCTAAGCCAGACCCTCAAATTTAGATGTTGAAGCCCTAACTCCCCATACCTTAGAATATAAACAAACTTAGGGAAAGGATTTTGTTTTTAAAAATATTTAATTAAATAAAATGTTCCCATCCACATCTTTTTAAAATTTTATTTGAGGTAAAATTGGTTTACAGCACTATGTATGATTTAGAGAAAGAGATTTACACCTGTTCAAATGTGCATCATACCACCTCGCTCCCCCCAGAGCAATAATACCCCTTTATCATATACCATTGTACCTGCTCCCCACTTTGTTCCTACCCTAGCGTTCCCCTCTAGTAGCCTCAATTCTGCATCCATATTTCTAGATTTTGTTTTGGTTTGTCATTTCCTTTCATCTTCCTATATTACACATAATACTGAAATCATCCTGACTTTGTCTTTCTTCCTCTGGCTTATTTCACTTGGTCTAATACACCAAAGAAGACATACAAATGCCTGCATGTGCATGAAAATGCTCGTTATCACTTATCATCAGGGAAATGCAATGAAAACAATGAGGTACCACCTCACTCCTGTGAGAATGGCACATAGCAAAAAGACCAGAAACAAGCAAGGATGTGGAGAAAAAGGAACCCACTTGTACTGTTGATGATAATGTAGACTATGGAAAACAGTATGGAGGTTTCTTAAAATACTAAAAATAGATGTATGACCCAGGAATTTCATTCCTTGACATTTAACCAAAGAATGCAAAAAACTAATCCAAAGGGATATATACACCCCTACATTCATTGCAGCACTATTTATAATAGCCAAGTTATGGAAATGACCTAAGTGCCAAACATGAAAGGACTGGATTAATAAGATGTGGTGTATATATATATATATATATATATATATATATATATATATATATATATATGATGGACTAGCACTCAGCTGTAAAAAAGATGAATTGCCATTTGTGACAGGTTTTTAAAGAAACCTGTTTTTAAAAAGAATTGTATGGATATGTCATGAAATAAATAATAAATCTGTTACACAATATGTACTAGAATTTACATTAGGTGTATATAAAACTTGATATCCTAGAAATAAACTAATTTCAGAAAATAATAGCAGCTATCATTTGCCCTCCAGAGTGAATTTGAACACCAAGTATTAGTGCAAGTTTGCTAGCTTCCTGTGGTATACATTCCCTATTCCTTTTTCTTTTTTACCAAAACTTGATTATAAACTTAGATATAAAAAAAAGTAATAATTCAGAATGTCTACTTAGTTTGTTAATGGGATCCCCCTTCAGAATTACTGAACAATGAAGAGTCTTATTTTATGTAATCTCTCTATTCAATGAATTTGTTAATGCCTACCTTAATGATTTTATCTAGGCATTCATGATACTTTTACTCTAAAATAGGCCATTATTTCTAATTTTTAGCTAGCACCAAATGCAAAATAGAAATAGGCCCAAAATTAAAATAAAACAAATAAGGGATTGTGGTTAGGAATTTAAAGCAGCATAGTGGTTTTAAGCCATCACTATGGTGATGCGATAACCAATAAAAACAAAGAGCTTTGCAAAGTGGTTAAATGATGATATATTTGATTTCCATTTTTCCCAAGTTTCAGATTTAAGTAATAACTGCCCTAGGAAATAGGATCCTCACAACAACTGATGAAATTTATTAAGATATCTGATTAACTTCAGAGGCAAGGAGTTCTCAGGAAAACAAATTCCCAGGGAATACAGGCAGAATAATTGTAAATAGCAGCAAGAAAATATTTGTGGAGCATACTGACCTCTGACTTGCTTCCTTCCTTACCCCAACTAAAGATAGAAAGGTTCTTAATTTTGGTAGGTATTAAGTGTAAAATTTCATCCCCATTGTGATGTCAAAGTCCTTTATATAGTGTTTATAAAGCTTTATATAGAATGTTTATCCTTTCAACTGTAAAACTGAAAATATTTTTAATGTTCCCAAGAAGTACCTGCTAAAGTCAAAGGTGTTGATTCATACTAAAAAGGCCATTTACTGTATTTTCCTACGTATGTGCACTAAGAAGATTGGCTATTTATATTACTTATTTAGAGAAGAAGTATATATGTGTATATATTAAGGTATTTCCTAAGTAAACATTATTGGGAATAATTATGTATTTTTACATATAAACACACATACATACACATACTCAAAACAGACATGCAATATTTTTGCATATTTTCTTAACCAGATGCAGCAGTTAAGGGTTCCTATTTAAGGATTCTGTTGAATTAAAGCATTCATTCACTCAATTATTCCTTCATACTTCAATTGTTTCCTGGGCAACTGTTTCCTATCAAAGTCCTCAGGAGGCAATTTGGGCAAACAAAATAACATAGAACACATATTTAAGCTGCTAGCATAGTAAATATGGACTGAATCACATTAGGCTAGAAGAACAAAGTTTTAATCTGATTATTATGTTATGTTGTCAATGAAACAGCGACACTATAAAGACATGAGTCAGAACTGAAAAAGAAGAGGGCATCTTCCTGACACAAGGAGAAAACTTCAAGGAAATGGAATAGAGATTTGAATAAGGAGATTGTGGAGATGGTCATACAGCAGAAAGTAAAGCACTACAAATGCTGAATGAAGGCTGAAAAGGTTCTGTGAAATGTCAGAGATTTAGCTAGAGTACAAGATATGAGTAGGGTAGAGTACTATCAGAAAGGGAAGCTCTGCAAACCCATTCCTGTGTGGTGTGTGTGTGTGTGTCGATAAAACTTTTTTTTCAGGTGGTATGCCAGATTTTTTTTAATTTAAATTTTATTTTTATATTCCCCATACAATTACAACCCCCTTCCTTTTTACAGAGATCCTTTTCCCTATACACTTACCCTCCACAGAATTACTTATTAAAATGAGGAGAGCAGGAAGGAAGGACACTGGTATATAGCTACATGTTATTAAAGAGCACTGAGCATGTACTATTGGTCATTTTCTATTTATCTTTTTATTCTATCCATATAGTAGATATTCAAGACACTTTCCATTGGCTTTAAAAAAAGAGAAGGAAATATCTAATGGTATACAGTACATGACAATCCAAGTAAACTTAGTAATATTTATAGAATTCGTAAGTACTGAATAGAATCTATGCATCTTTGAAAGTAAACCAGGTAGATATTTCAAGTACCCAGGTCATTTCTATGTCAATTATTCTATAGAAACAAACGTGAATATTCATGAAATACATATTTTTAAATACTTGAAAGAATTTTCTTTTCCCATTAGTAAACTAAGACCACTGCAAATCCTGCAGATACTTTAAAGCAAAAAAGAACACCAAATTCAAATTTCCAGTTATTTAAGTAATACATACTGGTGTTGTTCCCAGTAATATTTAACTGGGAAAATCTGAAGAAATGATAAGTGTATAATTTAGAAATGAAAATGTATGTTCTGCATTAGAGGCTGTTGTTTCAGTCTTTTCTCATTTACCTCTCATTAGATTTATCTGGAGGTATACAGTCCTCAACACTAGAATAATTGTAGATACTAATGACTGATATATCTATGAATAGGCTCATTGAATTTTCCAGAAAAAGCACACTTCTGATAAAGTCAAATCCATCTAATTAATCTAAATAAGAGTAAGTATTTTTCTTCTAAGAAAAACTAATTTTCTTGGTTATAGATATAGACCATGTCAGCTCCATGCCACTGATTCTAAGAAAAACATAACTGTAGGTACAGGAGGCTCTGTAGTTACATCTCTTAGAAACTATCTATATATAAATTCAGCAAAATGGTAGGTTACAAGATCAACATATAAAAATTCATAGCTTTTTAAATATATAAGCAACTAACAAGAAGCACAATAAATCAAGCAATCAACTCTATTTATAATTTCTTCAAAAAAATTAAATGACTTGGAATTAATCTACTTAATGAGGGTAAAAGACTTATACAATGAGAACTACAAGATGATATAAGGAAATGGAAGGACATCCATGCTCATGCGGGGGGAGATTCCCTATCAAAATACCAGCAATAATTTTAAACAAAATTGAACAAGAAATGTTGGAATTTATATGGAATCACAAAAGGCCATGAATTGCAAAATCAATTCTCAGAAAAAAGGAGCCATCATATCACTTGACTTCAAACTTTATGTACAGCAACAGTAATAAAAACAATATGATATCGGCACAAAAACAGATAGCTTAACTGAATAAAAAAAAAGAACAGAAATAGGGAAAGGAATAGTCTCTTTAATAGAGACTCCTGGCAAAATTGTGAAGTCACACAGAGGGATGAAGTTGAATCACATGCTAGCCCCATACACAAAAAACCTCCAAATGGATAAAAGATTGAGAAATGAGCTGCAACAATAAAATAGAAGAAAACTTTGGTGGATATATTTGCATGACATCAATGATGAAGATTTTTTTGGTGACTCAACCTTTATGTCAAGAGAAATAAAAACAAAAATAAACAATTGAGATTGCCTAAAGGTAGAAAGTTTGTATACAGCAAAAGAAAATACAAGAAGATGAAAAAGATATCCTATTGTGATTTGATGGAGAGTGAGTTGAACAAGTACACATTATGGAAAAAAATGTTAAAAAAAATCTATTAAATGGGAGAAAATAGTCTCACAATATACCACTGGTAATTGGTTAAAATCCAAGATATATAAAATCTCACACAATTCAACAATATATAAAAACAACCCTATTGATAAATGGGTAGCAGATCTGAACAAATTAATTCACCAAAGAGGCTATACTGAAGGCCAATTAATATTAAAAAATATTCACCATCACTTCCAGTAAGAGATATGCAGGTTAAAACCAGAATGAGATACCATTTAATATCCCTGAGAGTGCACTTATTAAAAAGACCAATGAGAAGTACTGGAGAGAATATGGAGAAAGAGGGCTCTTGTTATGCTGTTGGTAGGAATGTGAACTGGTTGCAAATCAATATGGATTTACCTTAAAAAACTAAAAATGGAAATACCAGATGACCTTGCAATCCCATTCTTGGGCATCTATCCAAAGAAGATGAATCCATAACCTTTATTTTCCACAATGTTTATAGCAGATTTATTTACAATAGTTATTACATGGAAATAGCCTCCATCAAGAGATGACTGGATCAGAAAATGTGGTATGCTAACATTATGGACGAGTATTCAGCTATCGGACAGATAAAGTACAGCTATTTTTTTAAAAATGGAGGGAATTTGAGAGAAACATGTGCAGTAAAGCAAATCAGAAGGATAAAAACACTGACTGTTATATGGCAGATGATTAAAGTAAAACACTTACAAAAACTAGTGGACATCAATAAATACCATGAAATGTTGGAGGTTCAGAGAGAGGGATAGAGGCCCAAGAGTAGGACTGCAAGGTCATCTGGTATTTCCAGTTTTAGTTTTTTAAAGTAAATCCATATTGATTTGCAACCAGTTCACATTCCCACCAACAGCATAACAGGGAGAAGGGGATACAAGGGAGAGTGTTAGGGGTAAAATTAATTTTAAAAACAATAAAAATTAAGAGATGATAATGGTTGATAAAAATTAAGAGATGATAATGGTTGAAAACTTACGTATCCATTAAAAAGAACCCATTTCAAATTCTAGGGATGATGTATTAGCAGCAGAATGTTGGTATAAAAACAAAGAGGATTCTTCATTGTTATACTACCTAAAAGGCTGTTTGTTCCAGTGGTAGGTAAGGGGGGCAGTTCATAAATGAAATTTTGGTGTTTTATTTCTTTGCCGGCACTAATTAGCTGAAGGAACAGTTATAATTTCTCTGGGACTCATTTACTTCATCTATAGAATGAAAAGGCTTAGTTGGATAAGCTTTTAAGTTCTTTTCAGTTCTCAATTTAGAAGACTCTACCTTTTGTTTCTGGGTAATTCACCTATCTGTTAAGTTCCCTGTAAGCACTTTGGACTTTTGGTTTGTTTTTTTACATTTTGTTTTGTTAAGAGTTCTGTGGTCCACTCCACATTTTGTGGTGTAGACATTTCAGAAAGCAAGGTGAAAAACATAGCTAAAAGTTACTTTTCAAATTTTATTTTGAAATAATCCAGTAACTCTGGATTATAGTAAAATAAACACAAAAAAGAAAATAATTCTTGCTTAATTTCTAATTATTTTTACTCAGAAATAAATATTATAAGTGTGCTTTTTGAAAGGTTAAACAACTTTTTTTAAAATCAGAAATAATCAAGGGATTGAAATCCTTTTTGTATTTGTGTTTATGATATTAGCAAGCTCATGCCTTTTTCTTTTATACTCTGTATTTCTTTCAAGTTTCATATTCTTCAACATATTTTTGAGGCCATAAAGGTAAGGCTGAATTTTATCCACTGGTCCTTGTATTAAATGATTAGTAATTCAATGCTAATGTTCATTTCTAACAATCCAGACCAGCAGGAAAACTTTGAAATTATAATATAGGTGCTCTATTTGACTGGTGGGCCAGTAGTAGTTTTACTTTTTTGATCTTTAGTTACTTTATTTGGAAAAACATGTTTGCCACGCTCTGTGTGAAAATCCAATCCCAACAGAGTACTAATTCAGCACTAAACAGCTTTTTCTGCAAGTTGCCATGGGGAGACATTTATTGAAAGGTAGATTGACCCTTCCTTTGCAGGTGGCAGGTAAGAAGATGAAGCTTCTTTAAGCAGAGAAACTATCCTCTTTTGCTCATTTGATCGCCAATGTAAAACTTGCATTCTTTTCCATCAAAACCTATACATTTTAGGTTCTCATCTTTGAATAGATATTATCCAGCTTCTTGCAAAAATTTAACTTGGAGAAATAGTACCAACTATTTAGGCATTACTAGACATTATGCCAGAAGGTCAGGTACAGGGTAAATGAAAGCATGGGGCCGGCAAACAGATTCCCGGTGTTCAGATCATGGCTCTAGCACTTGCCAGCTCCATAACCTCCTGCACAACTTAACCTCTGTGCTCTGGCTTCATATTTCTGAAAGGGGAAGTAACATTGGCACCCATCTCACTGGTTTGTTGTAGGGAGTAAATGAGAAAAATAAAGTGCTTAAAATAGCGTTTGACACACAGTAAGCAATCAATAACTGTTATGATTATTACCACTGGGGATCTATTAATAATTGAGCTATTTTAGTACAGAGGTATTCAAAATTCAGTCTATGTTAAGACATTGAAGCATTATAAAGCTATAGACCATGGTCTTAGTAATTTAGGTTACTAACTTAAGTACTTAAGATCTTAAGAAAAAGTTCATTGTTTCTTTCATGATATGACCTTATGTTTTTTAAAGTTTTAAAAAATGAGTATTGAAAACATTGTGTATACTTTTACTTTTTAACACAACTGTACTCCCAAGAAAATTTTCCTCTCTTGAAGAATTAGTGAGCATATTTGTTTTAGAAAATGAGAATTATATAAAGTAGCACCCTGGTGTTTGACAGTTTTGACCTACAAAAATAGCAGTTTCATATAGTTCCATCTACTCTCTAATGCCTTCACTTCCGCCTTGTTTTTCAGAAAAATTAGAACTTAAAGCTTCATCAGGTTTAACTATAGTAAAACTTCTGACTAGCATATTTGATTCTTTCTCATCAGACTTCTCATTTCAACTCTTAAAGAGTTCTTGCGCCTAAGACAAACATCTTTGCAGAAAAATGGTGTATCATGGTTAAAAAAAAATTTTTTGTACCTATGAAAGTTGCTAGAAAGATCAAATGGACATGAAAGCAATTTATAACCTAAATTCTAAATGCTTTAAACCCACTGACATTGAAGTCACTATACTTTCAAGTCACTGCACAAAGTTTCTTGCTACAACTTAGACCATTCTTTGACTGCTTCTAAACTACAAATCTGAACATTGAAAGCCTTCAAAATATCCCCATGATGCTTAGGATAAGACTCAAAACAAAACAGTTTTGTATGTAGTTCTCAGGCTCTGTCCTGGCCCCCTTAGCATCCATATTGACTGAGAGTGTTAGAGTTCCTGGAACCTACTGTTTCCTCACATGTCTCCATGTCTTGGATCACAACACACCCTTGGTCTGGATGCATGCCCCCACTGCTCTGTAAATGCAGTTCAAACACCCCTTTAGAAGTAACTGCCTTCGTTAAAACTCCTTTTAGCTATGTCTTACCTGAACTACTATCTTAGTTACCCAATTAGTGTCCTTAGTTCTAATTTGCCATTTTTCTAGTTCATCAAAATTGGGTCTACACTACAGGTGTAGGACCTGCCTACACTACAGGTCCCATCATATCACCAGGATGCTAAAAATTACAGTTGTTCTTTCACACCAGTGTGAGGACTAAAATTCTTGGCAGGGAATTGATTCTTTATTAAGTCCAAGACTATCTCATAAAGTACAAGAGAAAAGACATGATGGAAATGAGGGGGAAAACATTTTATAAACCTACCATTTTCTTTTAAGGGTACTTGGGATGAAGAGTTTCCAGAACTATGCAAAGTCATTCCTGTGATATAAATTAAATTATTAGTTTATATAAGTAATTTCTTTTGATAAATCCATAAAAATTAATAAAACATTAAGGAAGTAACATTTTATTTACACTCAGAAAAACATGCCACAATGGGCATATTTACTATTTTTAATGTCAACTTTGTTCTGTAGAATAAGCACAAATGTACTGTTTTTGACAATGACATTTTGATGCCAAGTATGAAATGATGTAAATGAGTTTTAAAAGAATTCTTCAAATGTTAAAAGAAAATACAGTGCTTGATAAGAATGAATAATTTTAAGGATAAAACAAATGCAGGCAGTAAATATTCTTTCATGGGTAAGTTTTATTCTATGTTTTGGGGGGAACATTTACTACTCTAAATCTGATATGTGATGGAAATTTATGTAATCCAAAGTCTTAATGAAAATAGTTTAAAAACTATAAGATCTATATAGAGCTATATAATCTATAAGATCATATAAATTCATTTATAGGAACATACTTTGAAAAGAATTTTCTAAAAGATTGGGTCAGTGTCTTAGACTATTTTTAACAGAGAGTTACCTATATGATAAAATTTTCCCTTTAATATTTTAATTTTTTTCAACTGATTGAACTTAAATTGATGAGTATAATCTCTCAAAGTTGTGGAAGTCTAATTAGTAATGTCATGTTCCATAAATATTGATCAGATATGGCACACAGTTCTCTTTTGATTCCATTTTCTCAAACTGATACAGGATGAGAAAATGCTCATTAACTTTGTATAATTAGGATTAAAAGACAAACTTTGGGTTTAAGGGAGAGTTAATTAGTATTTCATTAAAAAAAAAAACCAGCAGAAGAGGATAACTTGGTTTTCCTGTTTTCTACTGAGTAGTAGTAACCTCTGTGTTTAAAATACGTACTCTTTTGAGAGATTGATTTCCTTTAAAAAGTACATTTTCCCTTTAGATACATAAAGCAACATGAAACCCAAACCATCTATAAGGTACTATGTGTTTAAACACACACAACTTTTATACTTAATAGGTGCTAGTTAGCAGGGAGACTTTCTAAAAAACCAAATCAGTTAAAAATTTTACCTACCAATTATAGCATGTTATATAAAACTATCTGTTTTTTAAAACAATTCCATTCATGCTAAACTGAAAGTACCCCTAAATAAACCTCTCTTCAAAAAATATAGCAATAATGGAGTTGATCTTATAGGCTTTTAAGAAAAATTCAAAGGAAGGCTATCCAAAGCCATGGTACCAGACTGTCTGGGTTCTCTCAGTAAGACTGTCATTGCTTTTAACTGCGACCAAGAGAAAGTGAAGTAATAGTCTATGCCACAAAGCAACTTGTTAAACCAATTTTTACTTTGACTCTGTGTATTTTAAGTAGCCTAAAAATTGATATTCATAAGTAGTTTTGGCAGTTAGGACACAGAACCAAAAATAATTTCTTGGTAATTAACATTTTCTTGTACACTATGAGCATGAGGTATGGGAGAAAGAATGTTAAGCTTGTTTATGCTGACCTACAACATATGCTTGACCAGGGTCTTCAAAGGATGAGGAGTCTGATTCATGTTTCCTCCTTTCAGGACTTCTATTTAAACTTGCAACAGACTTTGAACTAAAGAAGGAAAAGGAAGGTAGGAGGGGGAAGTGTCAATGTAAAAAAATATGTCAAAAATAATAAAACGTCAAAGCAAAAATAAGTATGAAATGTAGAATTTACAAATATGTAGAGTTTGGGTTAATCATGTTCTTACTTATTGAGTTTTGTGAATCCTGCCAAAGATTCTGTATCAGATCTTGCCATCTGGTGAAATGGTTTTCCTATCAATTCCGCAATGGTTTGTGATGGGGAGTCCATGTTAACAATGACATTTTTCCGATGAGGATAGAGAGAGGCCTGACTGAGATCGTGGTATGATTTACTCATCCCTCTAGGCCTTTCCTCCCATGAAGCTTTGTCTCTCTTCTCTTTTGCACTGTTTTGCAATGGTTGGTAAAGCGATAGCTCTGAGCAGGATAGCCTCTTCAGAATCTCAGCTTGAACTGACAAAGGTCGGACAGCCAGTTTGTTCAGGGTGCTGCTGGCCAGACTGCCAGTGCTGATTGCTCGTCCCATATTAAATCCTCTAACAGACTCTGCTTGCAGATTCAGGCTCCTAAACGAAGCTCTCTCTACAAGGAAATAGGATTGCTTTACATGATGGAAACACTGCAGTACCTTTATGAGAAGTTATTTTAATAAATAAAATACAGCATGCAGTTTTTAATCATTTTGATCGCCAGCCTAAGTAGGTAGTTTCCAAAGTATGGCAATCAGGGGTTTTAAAAAGCAGGCTGGAAGATCCTGGTTTTCATACCATCTCTCCATCCTTTCAACTTTCTCATATCACCAGAGCCTAGTCAGCATTTCCCACTATATCTAGTGATTCGCTAGGATCTAATATTCTTTTGACTTCATGCTTACTGATCCACATTCCCAAGTACAGGTCTCAGTTAGAAATGAAAATGATACTTCACAGAAAAATTTTCAAATCTAGTAGGATTTTTGATAAAATCTCAGTAAATCAAGGATGGGGAGAGGGAAAAATGAAACCCAGAGAGGCCTACATGGTGAGAACATGCCTGAAAAAAAGCTATGCAGAGTAGAGCTTTGCCCAGAGAGAAAGTTCTTGGCTATTATATTTTTAAAAGCTTTTGGCAGACTGTGGTGTTGTATAGCTCTGTGAATACACTAAAAACCATGGGACTGTACACTCTGAATGGATAAATTACATGGTATGTAAAAATATCTCAAAAAGTATTATCCAAAAAATAAAAATTTTAAATCAAATTATTTCTTTTGCTATTTCACTACTATGCCAATCCCACTCTCCTGCCTGTAGACGTCATGACTTAACTGAGGCACAGGAGCCATGTGAGAATCAAATATTATCTGCCTTATCCCTGCTTTGGTTTCTGTTAATTAACATAATCTTCATTATTTACTCTTTATGCTTAAGTTCTTTTTCACTCCTAAGTAAGCATTCAAAGTCTTCTTTTACAGGCTAAATTTAAAAATGCATTAAAACAAGCGCTTAGGCATTCTATTTGGTGAGAACCAAGGTCATGGCAGTATTTGAGGCTATTTAAAAAGCATTTTATCACAGATTTTAGGATCAAAATATTTTCATATAAGTAAAGGACCAGGAGCACAGAATGTCAAATGACTTAGCTGTTCATGCGTTAGCAATCCACATCACAACGCACCCGTTTCCCCCCTGGAAAGTATCAACTATGTGGCACTCCATAAGGATATAATTTGATCACTATATAAAACAGCTGCAAAAACTACCTTTTGAAAAGAAAATGTGAAATGACTGCTGACTTAGAGCATGAGATTCTGTTTCATTAATCTTCTAATTTCAAGGAACATTAATAATCAATATTTTGTCTCAGGTATAAAGAGATAGGGAAAAAAATGAATGTTTTTAATATTTATGCATCAGAATGAAGCTCAAATAAACACATCTCATTGTCAACAGGAAAACTCAATGTTCGTTCTCTGAAATCATTAAGCACAAAAATGGAAGACTAGTTTAAAACTCTCAGAATGATCTTTAACTTAAATTTCAGAGTTATAGCGGGCAGATAGCATTATTTCGATTTTATTTTGAGAACAGCTTTTAATAAAAGACACAAATTGAGTCTTATGTAGATAATTATCAGGAAATGCTTTGCAACCAGTAGATTTCTTCATCTTAAAAAACTGTAGGCCAAATTTTAGCAGAAATGACAGCCAGTTCAGTTTATATATATTTTGCAAACATATCATGTGTTACACTATTCAAATTCATTCACAGTTGCTTCTTGGATAGGAACTTTAAATATATATATAACTGCATATATCCATGGCATAAGATGATAAATTTGTCACTTATCTGTTTTGTCCTATTGCCTTTCACCTGGAAATAACTCCAACATGGACTGCCAGGGTGGGAAAGGACACCACAAAAACTCTACATCCTGAAACTAATCTTTCAAATTTGGACTCAAAGTCTTGCGGGTTCCACACTCAGTCTGAAAATGCGTATTTGTTAGTCTCTGTGCTATTGTACGGTCCCTTGTACTGTACTGCACTTCCTTCTACTGTCAACTCAACTGCATGCTTTTTTGAAGAGAGGGACTTATTTATTACAAGACAGCTAGCACAGCATCTTTCAAATAGTAAGTGTGCAATACATGATTATTAATCTTCAATTAAACAACTGAAAATCAGTTGTTCGGAAACTCATCAAGTAGAAAGAATACTGGATTAGGAATTGAGACCAGGATTTCAGCCTACTTTGACTTCTAACTACAAAGTTTGGAGAGATACTATCATCTCTAAATCTGGTTTCTCATTAGTAAAATTTTGCACTTACTGGTCTCCAAGGTTCTTTCTAGCATTAACATTCTATGACTCTTGAGAAGTACTTTGTTAGCTCATCACTACCCTACAGATAACGGTAGTTATTTTCATTTATCTGGTATAGAACATTATGCAGGAAGCCAGTTACTTATTAGCTGATACTAAGATGAAAATAAATCTGTGAAGGTTTATAAAGTCTGGGAAAAGAGGTAGCTAATACCATTGTCATCTTAAAGTGTTTGCACATATGACTACAAGGCTACATAACTGTTGTGATCCCACAGTCAAATCTGTGAGGTATGCACAGCATTCTCACTTCATGGGTAAAGAAAGGGAGACTCCAAAAAAACAGCTATTTTCCTAATGTCTTTCATCTACTTTATGACTAATATAGCTACTAGTGATACTAGTGGTAAAATGATGTTGATGATGAGACTGTTTATTCAATGCCAGGTATTTATAAAGCACTTTACATGTATTAATCCATTCATCTTCACAAGTTTATGATGTAGGTATTATCATTATATTTATTTTACAGATAGGAACTAAGGCATAGAGTTTTAGTGTCTATACAAAGATTTCAGAGCTTTAACATACACAATAGTGTGAAGTCTGAACACTGGCAGCCTGGCTTTGGAGTTCATGCTCTTTACTGCATTATATGTTCTTAAGTATAAGAAATGTTGAGAATGGAAATTAGTTTCATATTTTTATTTTCTTACTCTTCACTATGGTATACTATACCATATCTGTAATGATGTCACCTTCAGCTGTTCAATTCTGGCTTGTATTGAATAGAATATTAGTCCAAGTAGGAATATTGATTTAGCTAGTAAGTTTGATATTTCGTTATACTTTGAAAATATATGACAGCATATTTTTTTTTTTAGCAGAGCAAAGCAGGGAAAGAAAGGGAATAATGAGATTACTTGACAGCATAATTACAGTATTTATACATGCATAAAAATCATTATTGAGGAAAGCCTGTAAAAAATGAAGATTCCAGGTACCTAATACCAAAGATTAGGATTCACCAAGTTTCAGACAGGTTCCTAGAAACTTCATGTTAAATAAGCATATGGCCCCCACCCCTACCTTGATTCTGAAAGGCTGAGAAACATTATTCTTTAATTGCCATTATGTCAGTCTAATACTACAGGGAACATATTTTCCATAAGTTTTTAAGGATGTGAGAAAATTCAGATAATTCATTGGGCTCTGCTGCACAAGGTCATCTGTGCTATTCATTAACTTTCTAATCAAATTGCTGCTAGTGTTTCACTGAAGGCTATAAGAATTTACTATCTATGCAGGACTGGATATTGAGTAACTTTAATCTCTACATGTGGTCTTGCAGAATGAGCTTTAAAAATTTCAGTTCTGATTAAGATTTTTAAAGAGCTGAATTAACTTCTTCTGCTGGTTCCTTTTCAAAAGGAACCATTCTCCTGACCATTTATATTGGTATTGTGGTTAATCATTTCAGTTTCAGAATGGGAATACATTCAAGTAAAAGTAACAGGTGGGAAATTCACCACCCCAGAACTGTTTTGGAATGTGTCTTACTTTCCCAGGTACATATTCTCCCTGCCCCCTGCCTTGTTTCCTATGTTCTTTCCTCATCTGAAAAGTCCTTTTATTTATTTTCAACCTATTTATTTTCTCCTTAAATTCCAGTTTAAGTGCCACCACTCCAGTACTCCTGACTCTGTTCTTCCTCTTTTCTTGTAGTACAGATCAGAGTCTTTATAGTATAATCCATTATTAAAACTTAGACCCTCTATTTTGTATTATGGTTTGTATGTTTCCAAATAGTATGTCAATTTACTGTAATTCAATCTTTTATTTACATCAGCCAGCCTATAGTGATGCACAAAACAAATGTTTCAACAGGTATCCTCTTATGATTTGAGGTGCTGTTTTCAAAGCATACATGAAGTTGAAATTTTGGCCTCATTTGTAACATCTCTATAAACATGATTTAATCATTTAATATGAATATACCCTCCCCATAATTTTCATCCTAAACATGGAATTTCTTTAAAAAATTGTGGCGAAAGTTATTCATATACCCTGAAATCATGTGAAATAGTTTATTTCTTCTTACCAATGTCTTGGGCATCCTGGTTGCTCTGCCTTGCTCTCATCTGCAGCTGGAACTTGTGTTGAGAAGAGCAGAGATGCAGCAGGTACTGACATACCTTACTGTTGTCTGTCTGGAAGGCATGTTTTATTCCATCTGATGTATTTTGCAATGTGATTTTCTTTTTCTATAATAGTAATTAGGGGTATTAAAAATTAGGATTTCTTATCACTTTATTACATGATCAAATTCTTACATTATCTACATACAGAGTATATATTAAAACCTAAAAGTAAAGCAAGTTCTGGTACTAGTTCATAAAATCCAGTGAATCTCTGAATCAGTGATATTCAAATACAGTTGCTATGAGGTACTAACTACTATTGAGCTAAATAAAGTTCACTGAGGTTAAGATAATTATCTATATTAAATATATTAGGAAGGTTTCCCCATGTGACAAGTTGTACCCTAGAATAAGTTCTGAATTAACAGAGAAGTCAACTTGGTTGTAATTTAACTAAAGTTAACTGAGCATATAACCAGCTTAGGAATGTGTATTTTAAAAAATTACCTCTTGAGAAAACCAGAGTCAAATAAAACCTTGATAATATTTCTTATAACCAAGAGTTAAATGGTATTATGACATACTAATATGAATAGTAATGTGCAAAGTTTACTTAAAAAACATCAACATGTTATATTTGAAATCGACAATACCTATTTAAAAATCTAATAAAAAAAGAGTTAAAACATACAGAAAAAGAAATCTTCTTAGTTTCCCTCCATGGAAAGCGAAGGACCAATGTGCGAACTCCGTTATGAACCTCAAACACAAGGACACCCTTGGAACAGATTCCAAGTAATATTCCAGTTTGTGACTTTTTCTCAGGGTGCACCCGATGAAAATGAACTCCATATTCTGTCAGTCTTTGGCAGACCTGTTGGAACATACCACATGTACCTTGGTAAAAGTGACACTGAGATACAGAAATTGGTCCAATATAGTTTAACTTGGAAAGGACAGTCCTCTCAACAAATGGTGCTGGACAATTGGATACTCATATGACAAAAAAATGAATCTCAATCTTTACCTAACATATGAAAAGTAACCCCCAAATATATCATAAACCTAAAAGTATAAAACTTAAAAAACTTTTTGATTGTGCATTAGACAAAGATTTCTTAGATGGGACATAAAAAAAGCACAAGTCATAGAAGAAAAATTGGTAAATTTTTTTGTAACAACCTTTGTTCTTCAAAATGTTAGTAAGAATTCATTCCACTCAGACTGGGAGAAAAATGTAAAACAGATCTGTTAACAGATCTGGAATTATAGCCAGAATATATAAATTTCATGTACTTTTCAACAATGAGACATAACGTGATATAAAAAAGGCAAAATATTTTATTAGATACTTCACCAAAGAACATATATCAATAGGGAAATACAAATTAAAAACAGGATCTACCACCACTTATCTATTGCAATGGCTGATAAAAAAGGCTGAACATACTAATTGATGTTGAGGATATGAAGCAATTGGAACACTCATACATTACTGGTAGCACTGTAAAACTGTACCACTAATTCTGGAACAATGGGCAGTTCTTTACAAAGTTAATCAGACAAACAATCATACTACTAGATATTTACTCAAAAGAAATAAAAACATGTTCACAGTCCTCACTGCTGGCACAAGGGATTAAGCACAGTACTGTGAAGCTATCGGCAGCCTCTGCAGCATGAGTTCAATCCTAGGCCGGACAGGGAGCTAACCCATGTGGTGCGGCAGGCCTCTCATGGCTCGCCTGCTGCTCCCCTCAGCAATGTATTTTAGTCAGTTTGCCTGTTCTGCTCCCCACTCTGTCTCTGGTGAATCCTCTCACCCTCCCTGTACCTCTGGCCTGTACCCCAGTTCTTGTATGCATAAATAAATCTTTTAAAAAAAATGTTCACATAAAAATGTGCATTTAAATGTTTATAGCTGCTTCAAATCTTTCAATGAGTGAAAAAATATATACATTTATAATTTTTAAAGGTATGTAATATAAATTTCTGTATATCTGTACAAAGGGAAATACTCAGCAATATAAAAATATTTTGATACATACCACACCATGGATAAATCTCAAAAGTATTATTCTAAGTAAAAAAAAAAAGTCAAACACAGAAGACTGCATGCTATATGATTCTTTATAAGAAATCTAGAAAAGAAAAAACTATGATAGAAAGCAGATCAGCAGTTGCTAGGGAGGAGGAGTGAGTGGAGGGGAGAGGCTGCAAAGGAATGCGAAGGGAATTGATGTTGTTGGAAATGTCCTATATCAAGTCTTTGTGGGTCATAGGATCTCTGTTGTAGCTATTCAACTCTGTTGTAACGTGGAAGCAGAAGAGATGATATGTAAACAAATAAGAATGGCCTAGTACCAATAAAACTTTATTTATAAAACGAATAGGCCACAATTTGTTAATCTTGTTCTTTATCATTATCATGGAGGTGGCTACTCAATTATGTGTATTTTTCAAAACTCACTGAATTAACCATTGAAAAGTGGTAAATTTATTGTATGTAAATTATTGTTTGTATATAAATTATTTATTATATGTAAATTTTGTAAAGTAGATTGACAAAAAGCTAAAAATGTTTCTCAAGGCAATACATTATGGCAGAAGTCTAACCTTCTTAAAGTATATTAATGAGACTTCAAACTCCTTAGGTTAGAAGAAAGATGCTAAAGCCAAAGAAAAAAAAGAGAGTATCAGGATTAGAAGTAGGGCAACCCACCATGCATTACACTATGCATATTTACAAGGGGAAAACTGAAGCTTTGAGAGGTTAAGGACATTGTCTAAGTTCACCGAGCTAGCTGAAATAAGAGTTTAAATTTAAGGCGGTCTGATTACAAATCCCCAGGCAAATTCTTTCCATTTGGCCAATTTGTCTTTTACCTTTATTAATAAAAATATAATAGCTTGATACTTATTTCCTACAAATATAAAAATGTTAACAACTAAGGAAAAATCCAAGTACATAACTTAATGTCTTCAACATAAACCACCTTGCCTTTCTATGAATCAGTCTTTCCTGTTATGAATCCTAGACTAAAGATAGTAGAAGTCAGTGAATGAAACTCTTTCATAGATCTATTCATTGGGCTGGAAAACGTGGTTCCCTTTAATACAGAGCAGCAAATGGAAGGCATACTGTTACATCTGAGGGAACTGAAACAGGAGAATGTTCTGAAAAGTTTCTCTTTTCAAGAGAATACTATTTTATCTTTGCTCTCCACACTGGAGGTGTATGTAGTATTATCTTTTTTGACTGTAAATGCACTATTTATCTGATGTCTCATAGGAAAATGATGGTAGAAACTGGAACCATATAACAAATTTTCTGACTCCCTTTTGCTATGTGAATTAGTTGATATTTAGTGGAAAGACAATTTTCAGAGAATGCAATTGAATTTTAAGTCTTTTTTAGACAAAACAAAGTAAAACAATTCTATAATTAGTATTAACTTGCTTCTCATATCCAGTCAGTCACCATATTCAGTAGCTTCTTTACAATGTATATGGCTTTCTAGAGTGTGGAATAGGATAAAAACAGAATCAGTACCCAGATATGTGTCCATTTCACTTTGGGAATATCACATGTCCTTGTTGAGATTCGATTCCCTCTTACAAAATGAGAATTAAAACACCATGATTTTAGTCAGGAATAAAGGAGCTGACACAATGCAGACTATCAGCACCTGAGCTTTTAAATGTATCCTACAACACTTCTTATACAGAGAAAGGCACAAAGTTCATAGTTAGTAATATCACATGCTTACCTTTAAAAATTCTAACTCTGTTTCTTTTTCAGAAGCTCCCACATAGGTATTATGCAATTTGGGCAGTTCTTCCTTAATATAGGATAAATCAAGTTTCTCCATCACTCTGGGAGGCAAATAATGCTCCAGTCTAAAGTAAGATACACCATGAACCTAGAAAGGAGAAGCTTTTGTAATTCTGTTTGCATTCTTCCTCTTATAAGTTTCTGCCTTGACTAAGAGATAAGATGCTTCTTCTATTCACACTACTCTCTGAGGTGTGAGCTTTAGAGGAAATGTATCAGTCTTTTTCTTTTATTCAGTGAGGCAGAATGACTGACAAGTTTGGGCCAAATATCACTAGAGTTAAGGGCTATTGTTGTGAAGGATGCTGCATGAGTGGCAGTCTCTGGCTCCTTGCTTCCTGGTAGATGTGTTTATTTATATTCAGTAATATTAGGCCTTGGACATCTATTCTTCATACAGTGAACTCTGCCAGGCTCTCAGGCCCTCAGTAAATGGATTCATCTGGAAAGAAGACAACCCATTTGATCTAATTTGACTGGCAATTCTTGCATGATTTTATACCAGTGTGCTCGGTCATTTTGAGGCACCAAACTAGCCTCAAAAATTTCCAGAACTAATAGCAACAACCTCAACCAGGTTTAGTCTTTAATTACACTGGATAAGAACACCCATCACAAAAGTGATGCTGGAGAAAGAAAAACAAATCTTACATCTGGTTGATAATCTCCATACTCAGCCTGGAGAGCCAGTGATGCCAGCAATAAACACGTCTCATCATCACAGTGCATCCTCTCCTCCAAGATATCTTTTCGCAGCTGAAGATAGTACTGATGACAAGTCAGAGTATGTCTGGCAAAATAAATACATACATAAAACATCCATGCTTTAGATACTGAATACTGAGAGTGATTTTTGTTACTAGCATATAACTTCAGTTTCCAAGATGTTCATAATTAAGTTTTTAAAGCAAAGAAATTTAATAAACTATGTTGTGGGAATTATTTCTTTTATGATAATGAGGATATTATCACTGATCAGAATCAAATAATTCAGTGTCAATAAATTAAAGAGTCAAAAGATGACACACCAAGAAGAGGAAAACAGAAAGTCTTGTGTACTCACTGTATTAGACTAACATCATCCATGAAAAATTTTATTCGGAAAAACAAAGTAAACTGAACAGTGGCTTTGCCCTTTTTCTTTGGTTCTTCCTTCCATCCCTCTGGGGCCACTTTGGTTAATTTCAAATCAGGCTCAACAAAGAAATATTCATTATCTAGAACAAAATAAGGAACCATGCAGACAAAATAAAAACACTTTAATGTTTTCTTTTTATTTTTCTTTTTTGGGGGGGCCAGACTTGCACAAAATAGTTTCATATGAGAATAAAACAGTTTTTAAGAAGTACAGCAGGGAGCTCTGAGGCACTGCACATGGATGGGAGGCAATCTGGCTAAGTCTTTTAAGAATGAGGGCTCTGAAGACACATAACTGGATTCAAGTGCAGACCACATCCCTTACTATTTATGTGACATTGAATAATTTATGCTTCTCAGTATCAGTTTTCTTGTCTATAAAATAAGGGTAGTGTTAATTCTTTGTTTTGTAGGGTTGGTGCATGGATCAAGTGATATAATGGATAAAAAACACTTGGGAAAGCAAGTGGCACATAACAATTATTCATTAAGAGTTATTATTTATCATTACTGAACTTTCAGCTGAAACCTAGGAAGAACAACAGCCATTTTGTTTTTAATGTTCTGTTAAATATTGAGCTTCTCAAAATAAAAAGATTATTCCATGAAATCATACTTATCTAGAATGTTTAGGAAATTAAATGTATTATAAATGGAAATTCTAATTAACTGAATATCTTCATGTAAATAATATTACCTGAAAACACTATAATTTTAAGTAGTAAAGTGATAGAATAACAGTAGCCACTAATTTAATATTTACTGAATGATTATAATGAAGTATTGGCCTTTAAAAAAAAATTCAATAAACTAAGTTGATGAAATACTTCTTTTATGACAAAATCATCATGATCTTAGGGTTTCAAGATAACTTGCATTTATGGCACTTTGTTATCTAAGCTTTCTACGGTAAATTTTGAGGTAAATGGAAATGTACAATACTGCAGAGTAATTTATATAAAAAATGATTTATTAAAGAAAGATTAAAGTCCAGTGGACTTCATATTTCTATGGCTTTTCTAATTGGTATAAATAGGAGCAGCTTCTATTGAAGCTGTGCTGAGACCACTATGATTGTAAATGCCAGAGTTCAACAAACATAATGCTTAAAAACATATGAAATGACTTATTTCCAGTCATTAACCAACAACACATAAAAAAGATACTGTATGGTTCTAGAACAGTAGGCAAAAGAATTGACGTGGAAATTGGGTAATACATTCTGCTAAATATTTAAACACACATGAGCAGTATGCTAATTTCTAGAGTACATATGTAGAAAACTGACATTATGGACCCCAAAATATAACAATTAAAATCTATTTTTATATACCAAAGTCAAGAAAAATCTTCATGATCAGGGGAACATGGTAATAAAAAGATGTAGCTATTAAAACAATTAGCCTATTTGGGAGATGCCAAGGAACTCCTCTCTTACCCCTCAAATGAGAGCTTATTCATTTGGTGAGTATTTCCCCAAAACAAGACCAGGCATAACAGGCAGAGAAAGCCAGACTGTTGTCAGGTTTCCATACTAGACCATGAATTTAAAGTAAACACTAGCAAGGATGTAAAACAATGGTACTTCAATTAAAAAAAAAAAAATGTCTTCATACCTTTGAGGGTAGCTAAAGCAAACAAATGGTGTTCCACTAAGCCAACATGGGCTACCACCATATCAAACACATCTTTGCAAATAGTTTTGGTATCACAGGTCAGCTCCAGTCTCTGCCCACTCAGAAGCATTATGCTTACTTTTCTTCGGATATCCTCATTTTTCCCTTTCTTGGTCTACAATTCAAAATGATGGGTGGAATTTATTAAAGTAAACATTATAAAATTTTTTACTATTCCTTAAAACGTCATCATTACTGAAAGAATTGTGTAAGAGCGAGAAGTGGTCTTATTACTTACAAGGATAGATCGTGGCAAATCCAAAGATATAAATGGTTCAATCGTCATTTTCACAAACTCAGGACCAAAGAAATTCTGCAAATCACATAAACAGAATCAATATATCATTCTAGGTCTTTCCTCAAAGAGGAATAATGTAATAATACTGATGATGATGATGACAGATGCAAAGCCACTGTATTTGAGCCAGGTGATCTGAAACAAATAATGAAACTTTCAATAAAAAAATAGAGAATTTACTAGGACCAGGAATGGAAAAGCCTTATACTAAATGTGACCAGCTTTTCTTAGTTTTATTTTCTATCAGATGGACTCAGACTTTCATCAAGCTCAGGAGAATTTTATTTACCTTAACAACTGTTTGTGGGAATGTAAATCTAGCCATTACGGAAAGCAGTATGGAGATTCCTCAAGAAATTAAAAATAGAAATTCTACATGATCCAGTTACCTATCTCGTGGGAATTTACCCCCCCCAAATACAAAACACTAATTTGAGAAGATATATGCACCCCCCATGTTTATTGCAGCACTATTTATAATTGCCAAGAACTGGAAACAACCTAAGCGCCTGCTGATTGGCAAAAGGATAAAGGTGATATGCTGTTTATACCCAATGGAGTACTATTTAGCTATTTAAAAAAAAGACAAAATCCTGTCATTTACCTTAACGACCTTATGCGTTTCAAAAACGCATAAAAAAATTCGACTGTAAAACCAATTATTGCTTATAAGGGAAGAGAGAAGGGGAGTGAGTCAATTGGGGAAAAGGGACAATGGTATGGTGAAGGATAAATTTGAATTTTCAGTTAGCAGAATTCAATGTGTAGTATATACAAAATGCGTATGATGATATATTATGATATACATTGAGTAGTATGTGTAGTATATACACATTTTCAACAGTGAACAACTGAACACACTATAATGCAATGTTCTTCAATAAGAAAAAATTTGGCTTAATATTGCTGATGAAGTGAATGAGCAGAATGTCATTGCTTTATTATTTTTCATTTTTATATATTTTTACATTGTTCATTTTTGTACAATGTTCGATTTCTCCTCTCAGGTGTTGTCTCCATAAAACTACCATGAAGATACCTGTGAACCGACATCATAGACTCTTGTGCTCCTCCCTCCCATTCTGATCATTCTCCCTCTCCCTCCCTTGCTGAATGTCACCGATTTATAGTTTGCCTGCTTTTGTTTTTTTCTGATCCCTTGTATGGTTTCCGTATGTTCCTCCTATGAGAAACCATCTGATATTTTTCTTTTTTCCTTCTGACTTATTTCACTGAGCATAATCCCTTACAGCTCCATCCATGTTGCTGGAAATGGCATAAGTTTATCTTTTTGATTGCTGAGTAGTATTCCATTGTATATATATATCACATCTTCTTGATCTAGTCATCTGTTTTGGAGCATTTAGGTTGTTTCTATATTTTAGCTATTGTAAATAGTGCTGCAATGAACATAAGAATACAGGTTTCTGTCTGAATTAATACTTTTTGTTCTTTGGGTAGATTCCTAGAAATGGAATTGCTGGGTTATATGGTAGATCTATTTTTAGTAATTTGAGGGTCCTCCACACAGCTTTCCATAGGGGCTGGACCAGTTTGCATTCCCAGTAGCAATGCAAAAGGGTTCCTTTTTCTCCACATCCTCACCAGCATTTGTTGTTAGTTTTTGTAATTGGGCCATTCTGACTGGTGTGAGGTGTTATTGTGATTTTGATTTGCATTTTCCTGATTATAAGTGATGCTGAATATATTTTCATGTGCCTGTTGGCTATTGCATTTCCTCTTCAGAGAAGTGTCTCTTTCGCTCTTCTGCCCACTTTTTGACTGGATTCTTTATTTTGCGTTTGTTGAGTTGTGTAAGCAGTTTCTAGATCTTTGATATCAGTGTCTTATCAGTTTTATGGAGTGCAAATATTATCTCTCAATCTGTGGGATGACTCATCTTGGTTATTTTCTCTTTTGCTGTACAGAAGATTTTTAGCTTGACATAGTCCCAGCTGTTTATCTTTTCCTTCATTTTCTTTGCTTTGGGGGAATGAGTCTTTAAAGATGATTCTGATATATATGTCATGGAGTGTTTTGCCTATGCTTTCTTCTATATATTATATGGTTTCAGGTCGTACATTCAAGTCTTTTGAGTTCATCTTTGTGTATGGTATGAGGTACTGGTCTAGATTCATTCTTTTGTATGTAGTGGTCCAGTTTTCCCAGCACCATTTATTGAATAGACTGCCCTTGTTCCAGTGCATATTCTTTGCTCCTTTGTCATAGTCCCCCATTCTTCCTTTTTCTGGTTAGGAATGCTTTGGCTAGAATATCACTAAGTAGGACACTACCTGCTTTGTGATTACAAAATGCCATATATATCCATATGTAATTAGATTCTTGTACTGTTTTTGTTCTAAATAGTGACAACTGGAGATAATAGAGGTATCATAGTTTCTGACCCCATCTTGCTATCTTAATGAGAAAGTATTACCTCAGGAACTGAGAGGACTCAGGATCTAGGGAAAGTGGAGTCGATATTTTGCATTTACTGATTCTCAATCTAGTCTTTCCTTTAATCTTGTATATCCAGGGGGACTGGAAAAGAAGGGAGACTTAATATATAAGACAAAGTTAGATAAACTCTACTTCAGAACAGGATTAAGAATTGACTAAAATATTAAGTCCAAGTGAGCAAACGGTAGAAAGAAAGCACAGCTAATCCTGAGACAAAAGGGAGGAAGTGTGTTTGTGTATCCACTGTGCTTGAACTAGTGGAAGGTACTGGAATTTTATTTTTGTTGGTTTCTTCTTTGCATTTGGCTGTTTGCCATTCATTTGGTTGCTTGGTAAGGGAATTTTATTCCATTAACTGAGTGTGGAACATGTGACAGACACTGTTAAGTAAAAGTTTAACATTAAGAGTTTAATACTTAATATACCAACAAGACACATTTTAAACAAAAAAACAGAACAGAAAAATGAAGATAGTCTGCAAGGAGAAACAGAATGGAATGAAGAGATTAAGCAATAGGGTATAAGTTAAAATCTATATCAAAAGTAATATAGAAAAAAAAATTAACTAAATATTTATGTTTCAGAAAGGGTATTAATTCAGCTGTGAAACTGTTCCTCCAAATACCAGTACTCTTTTTTTTTAGCCCGAAAAACAAACACTTCTTGATCTTTTCATAAAAGAGACAATGTGGTGCTTTGGTGACCAGTAATTCAAATCCCTATTCATTGATATGGCATTTTCTGATAAAGAAATATTTGTTTTGAAATAGTCAGAATCTAATTGCCTGAAAAGGAAATAAGATTTTAGTGAGATGACACATAACAATGGCACACTGTAAAGGTACAGATCACCACTTATGATTCTCTAATGAGTCAAAGTTTTGGATTAGTTCTCTGAAACTATGATTTATTAAAAAGGTGTACATGTGTGTGCCCTTTGTTTTAAGTGGGACTTTAATTATGAGGAATGCACACAATTTTGCATGACATCCTACTTATTGCTTAATTTTGACAAAGCTATTCGTTATAATGATGAATTTATAAAACCTTGAATTTCTTCCCTTCAGGTTAAAATAAATTCAGTTATTTTACTGGGATCTAATAGCTATAAAACTGGACAGTGTTTTATGAATTATAATCCAATTCCACATTAAAAAATAGCACAATAAGGTTCAAAAATGTATATAAAGTCATAAAACAGCATTACTTGCAATAAAATCCAAGATTTCTAATTTGTAGTTAAATGTAATGATCACCACCCACTACAATGGTCTCCTTTCCTTCTAAAACTATAAAAGAAATTTGAATTACATCAGCTTCAGGGCAAACAAGTATGTTTTTAAGAGAATTCTTTGAAACAAAAACCAAAAAAGCAAAATATAATAGGGTAATACATCTTAGTTTAGAACTAAAAAAAAATTCTAGATTTTGTTTTATTAAAATTTGCTTTACTTTTGAAAATTATTTTTAAAGGAACAATACAAATGAGATATTGCCTCAACTATCAAATTGTTGATGATAAAGAATGATAATATCCAGAATAGGTAAGGACATGATACAACAGACATGATTATATAGGAAGCATAAATTAGTACAAACTTTTTTCCCATCAGTCAACATTTATTTATTGAGAAACTACTATGTATTTATAACTGTACAAGACGCTCAGGAGGGTAAAATTTTTGCTGGGAGTCACAAAAAATGTTTTCTAATGGTCTGTTACCTATGTAGGTTTCTTCCTTGAGTGTAGGAATGGTATTTTCTACAAATTTATATTCCCTAGGAATGGAGAGCACAGTATTGAGAGCACAGTGAACACACAATATGTTAAGTCAAAGAGCAAAGATAAACAGAAATCAATTTATTAACTTTCACAATTTTTCAACCAATTTGTTCAGCATGTCTAGGAAAGTGAGTTTTCAGCCGCATTGAAATATTTTAATTAAAGCTGCGGCCTCAATACAGCCAGGTTATAGTTTTGCCTAAATTGACTGATTCTACTTAAAAATGTGTGGCTTCAGTAGGTGGTAATTTAATACAGAATTATTTTGTATGTTGTCTCACTAACACTAAAAATCCCAACTACTTACAGCCTTTTTCCCTCTCCATTTATGTTTATTGAGATAAAGAAAGTTTACATCATTGTATCTGCTTTGGGGGTTATAGGTTGAAACCTCTACAAATGTATGTTCTCATACAACTAGTGACCAATTAATCCTCTACCATGTTCCTTTGGGTCCCCTATCTCCCCAACTCCCATTCCACAGCCTGACTCTCTGTTTGCCTCAGTTTTGCAGTGAGCTGTCAAGGGTATTCTATTGGTTTGGTCTTGTCTGACAGTTTGCTTTGTTTCTCTATATTCCATACATAAATGAGGTTACTTGGTATTTGTCTTTCACCTTCTGATTTAATTTGCTTAACATTGTCCTCTCCAGTCCTTCATGTTGTCACAAGTGACAAGAGTTCACCTTTTTTTAATAGCTGAGTAGTATTCCAGTGTGTGTGTGTGTGTGTGTAAAAGATATATATACACATATATATGTATATATGTATATACATATATGTATATATACACCCACACCAATTTTTTCATACCCCCCTCCCCAATTTTTGGGCACTTGGGCTGTTTCCATTACTTAGCTATTGTAAACAAGGCTGTAATGAACATAGGTGACACACAAATGTTTTGAAGGGCTGTTTGACAAAATGCAACAACTGTCATAAAAAGTATCTGCCTTGACTTGGTTATTCTATTAGGGAGAAGTTATTGCAAAGATTAAACTATAGGGATAGTCATCAGAGGATTTCTTGCAATAGTAATGACAAATAAGAAATATTTTAAGAGCCTCTCTGGTGGTGCAAGGGGTTAAAACGCAACCTATGAAGCCATCTGCAGGCACTGCAACACGAGTACAATCTCGGGCCAGGGAGCTACCCACATGGCACAGCAGACCTTTCCTGACTCGTCTGCTGCTCCCCAAGGCAATGTATTTCAATCAGTCTGCCTGTTCTGTTCCCCACTCTGTCTCTGGTGTATCCTCTCACCTCCTGTACACCTAAGGCCTGTACTCCAGTTCTTGTATATATAAATAAATCTTTAAAAAATATTTTAAATGTCCAATAACTAGAAATTAAAAGAAAATTATGGTACATAGCAAATGAAAATTTCATAGTCCTTAACCATAATATTTAGAAATTATAAAATGTTCAAGATATTTAAATAAGAAAAGCAAAGAATATGTTTATTTTAAACTTATATTTATAAAAATACATAGGTTATAAAGTGAAAGAAAAATTAGCCAAGTCAACATATAAACAATACCCTCTTATAAATATAAGATGTGTATTTGCTCATTTCTGTCTTTAGATTGTTATAATGTGAGAATGTGATTCTTAGAGGTAATGTAGTCAGTAATCTTTTGACTATAGAATAAGTTAATATCAAAATTCTGAGAATGTCAGAGTGGAAAGATGGAATGCATTCGATAACATTCTTCAGCTTCTGAACCAATCTTCAAGTCTCTATGTCTGATTTTCTTATTTGTGTAATAAATGTCTTAATAAAAAAAATCTCCCACAATATCAAATAATGTCAGTTAATTTTAAGGATTATGAATATACTTTAAAAATATACAGTTAAGATACTTTAAATCCATGTAATATTATTTTAAAAGTAAAATCAATGAAACAGCTAAATATAATTTTAATATCAATGGATAAGCTATTTAACACCAATGGAAACTAATTTGGCAAATTTCAGATACCCAGAGCAATTTTAAAAGGTACTTTGTATAACAGTTTCCTTTAAGACCAAATTCATATGCAGAAAGCTGACAGTCTACTTACCCTCAGTTTTCTTTGGGTCATAGCTGTTTCTAGAGCCATTTCTCTTAAAGGATCCCTGGTGATGTCAAGCATGGAAGCCTTGATTGTGTCTCCTGGATACAGGCTTAACCGGGATTGTCGAAGAGCCATCCTGGCTTGCAGCTGCATCATTTCTTCCTCTTGACGTTTTAACATTATTTCTTGATTAATTAAGTTACTTTCAAGAGGAGTTTCATATTGTCTGCTATATAAAAAGAGGGAAAAAGTAAAAGGTGCAAAGAAAGCAACTATCTTAAATGCAAATGAGAAAAAAGGTCAAACGTAAGAATTTACACAAATTTTAATTTTTCATTTTGAAAGACCTCTTGCAGTTAACATTATAGTCCTACTTTTAATGTATTGATTAAGTAAGTTTCCTTATTTTCAGTGGTACAATTATATCCTCTATCTCTTCTCTGAACATTCCAGCATATTCTGAAAACTACTCCCCTTGAAAGGCTCTCAGATAGAGAGGCTGACTCATTCTTATAGTATTGTACCACTGGACCCATTGGTGGGAATAGAGATTTTCCATTCATTTTTCACTTCAGCTTTCAGACCACTGTTGATCCCCTGCTCCAGTAGTCTCCACCTTCCCTACAATACTGCTATGGAAGTATATCATCCGCTATTCCACTTTGCTCTAGACACTATTGTCCTACGGATCAACTATTCCTTATTCACTAATGATTTAAGTGTCTAGCTCTGTCTTTTCCACACCTCTGTCGTCATTCATGGTGGAGACTGAGAAGTCTCTTATATTCTTCTTTCTCTATTTCAGCCAGCAATCTGCATCATAGTCATGTTGGCTATTAAAAACCACACCACCTCTAAAATTTCCCATTTTGGGCCTCCCTGGTGGCGCAGCGGTTGAGCGCTGGGTTGCAAAGCTGCCCGCAGCCTCTGCGGCACTGGTTCGATCCCCGGCTGCTCCCCGGCCACCAGAGGAAGGTCCCACATGGCGCGCAGACCTCTCCTGCCACCCGGTGCTCCCCTCAGCAGTGTACTTTGGTCCTTCTGCCTGCTCTGCTCCCCGCTCTGGCTCGGTGAATTCTCTCACCCTCCTGCGCTTCTGACTGTACCCAGTGCTTGTATAAATAAATAAATAAATCTTCAAAATAAATAAATAAATAAATAAAATCTCCCATTTTCCCAAAATCTTTCTAATATCATGTTAACTCACTTCCCTTTATACTCTTCTTTGAATAATGGACTCTATGAGGAATTTTGACCTACAGAGTGTATCACATTATTGCTGAAATCCTCAAGTTTATCATTAAAATTACTTCTTTGTGGACAAATAAAGCCAAACCAATAACAAATCCTAGAAATCTGACACAGAACTATTAGAGCATGAGAGCAGGTGGGAAAGGGGGAGCACAACATAATATGGTGAAAGACTACTGGTGCTGTGCTGGTGGGTGTGGTGTGGTAACAACTGAAGCAGGAAATCATATACTGCTAAATTACAAGCAATGCTGTAAACCAATGTTACCTAAATAAACATAATCAATCAATCAATCTTTCCTTTGCACATACCTCAACTCTCATGAAACTATACAACCAGGTTGACTAATCTCACCAGACCCACAGCATTATCTGGAGACTCACTTCTTAGAGCCATTTTAGATATTCTTTAGGTCTCTCTTACCTAAATTCTATATTGTCTCTCTCTCAGCTAATGACGGTACTTCCTTCTCTTGCTGAAATAAGAAGCAATCAATAACTTTTTCATTTTTCTACCATCAAACTTTCCAAACCTATATCCAGATGTGCTGCCATCTTCTTTGTCTCAATGGATGGATCTCCTGCACACTTATTTAACCTCTTCTGTGCATGCATTTCTACCCCTCTCCCGTACTCAAAGACTTTGCTCCTGAGATTATTCTCTCACAAGTATAAATAATCTCAAAGATTAGGCTATTCTCATTAGCATACAACCATTCTGTACTATCTCCTACTTAGAACATAAAATCCTACTTTGGATCCACATTTCTTTCTAGACTCTATCCCATTTTCCTGATAACTTATAGAGTAAATCTCTTCAGACTGTCATTTAAATTTTATATCTACTTCACTTCTCATTCTCTCTTGGACTTAGACCAATAGTATTAGGCCCTACTATTCCACCACCAGAAATGACTGACCTCTGCTATCAAAGTCCAGGAGTAATTCTCAATTTATTTAGCCTCTAAGCATCATATGATATGATTGCTCAAATCTTCTCCTTGAAACTTTTGACTTCTAGATAACCATGCTCTTTATGGTTTCCTTCTACTTCAGTTTCTCCTTATTTTCTTTTGCTTGATCCTCCTTCATTTCTAATCTTTTAACATGACATTACAAAGTACTCAGATCCTAGGAATTTTTAGTCTCTGTATACATTCCATACCTATGTACCTATGTGTTCTCATCTTGTTACATGGCTTTAATTACCTTACATATTCCTATCACTACAATCTCTTTCCTGAATTCTAATTCCATTCACATGCCTAGATGAATTTTTACCTGAATGTTAATATACATCTTTAGACTAACATACCTAAAAGCACATACTTTTTTTTTTTTTTGGCTGTCAACAACAATAATTTATTCTCTCCATTTATGGAGGACAAAAAGTGGAAAAGTGGTTATCAGCAGGTAAAGCTGGCAAATTCTTTTTTTTTTTAAAGAAAGACTTTTTTTTTTTTTGATTGATTGATTTATTTATACAAGCACTGGGTACAGTCAGAAGCATGGGAGGGTGAGAGAATTCACCAGAGCCAGAGCGGGGAGCAGAACAGGCAGACAGATGAAGTACACTGCTGAGGGGAGCAGCGGGCGGCAGGAGAGGTCGGCGCGCCATGTGGGACCCTCGGCGGTGGCCGGGGATCGAACCGGCGCTGCAGAGGCCATGGGCAGCTTTGCAACCCAGCACTCAACCACTGTGCCACCTGGGAGGCCCATAGCTGGCAAATTCTTGATAGTTTCCCTCAACACACAACCTTCTGTTATTCGTCACAGCTAAGATACAACTTGATATCATTCTTGATTTTACTCTTTTGCAAATCCTGCATCCAACTGATCATCAAATCTTGCAGGCAAAACCTTGAAGATATCTCTATATAGGGTCTCCCCTGGTGGTGCAGCGGTTGAACGCTGGGCTGCGAAGCTGCCTGCAGCCTCTGCAGCGCCGGTTCAATCCCCTGCGGCCGGCGAGGGTCCCACATGGCACAACAGACCTCTCCTGCTTCGCCCGCTGCTCTCCTCAGCAGTGTATTTCATCAGTCTGCCTGTTCTGTTCCCCGCTCTGGCTCTGGTGAATTCTCTCACCCTCACGTGCTTCTGACTGTACCCAGTGCTTGTATAAGTAAATAAATCTTTAAAAAAAAAAAAAAGATATCTATATATTACTCTTCTCCATCACTTAGTCTGTACTCTGCCCAACTCAGATGAATTACTGTAATTGTTTTCTACTGTATGCTTTCCACAGAAGAGAACACAGTAATGACATTAAAATGTAAATTAGATGATGGCTTTTCCATGTTTTCAACCATCCAACAGTTTTAGATCATACTTGGAATAACACCCAAAGTAGTCACCTTCTTGAAGCCTGACATGATTTGGGTCCTGGTAACTATCCACTCTGTCCTTCATTCATTCTGCTGTAACCATACTGCCTTTCCTGCTAATCTTCTAATTTGCAACACGTCTCTTATACCTCAGGGCATCTGCTCTTGTTCCTTTTTCTCTGGAACATGATTTACTCAAAAATTTTATTTAATTTCATTTTTTTTGTTGTTGTTGAAACCCCTTTGCCTCAAATGATTTATTTTTATTTTATTTTATTTTTTACATCATTGTTCATTTTTAAACAATATTTGCTTCCCCCCATTCCTTCAGGTGTAGTCCCCATAGAATTTCCTTCACCAATGCACCCATCAAAACCAAACTGAGATAACACCTTACACTAGTAACAATGGCACATATCAAAAATCTAGCAACAACAAATGCTGGCGAAGATGAGGTGAAAAAGGAACTCTCCTACATTGTTGGTGGGAGTGCAAAGTGGTCTAACCCCCATGAAAAGTTGTCTGGAGGTTCCTCAGTCTACTAAAAATGGAGGTACCATATGACTGGGCAATTCCACTCCTAGGGCTCTCCCCAAAGGACACAAAAACATTTATCCAAAAGAACACCTGTACCCCTACGTTTATTGCAGCACTATTTATAATAGGCAAAACCTGGAAACAACCCAAATACCCAAAAAATAGATGACTGGGTCAGGAAGATGTGACATATATATATATATACACAATACAGTGTTATTCAGCAATCAAAAAAGATACTCAAAAATTTTAAATATCACCCCATAGAAAAGCCTCCTCTGACCACACTCCATGTGAAACAGAATGCAGACATCACATCCCTGCATTCTCTAACCTTTTAGCCTACTTTATTTTTCTTCAAAGCACACTATCTAATGATATTTATTTATTTTTTAATGGTTTATTGGCTATCTCTCAACTCTAGAAAGTTTGTTGAGGGACTTTTTCTATCTTGTTCATAACTCTTTCTCTACCTAGAAGTACCCAGTGCATGACAGGTATGCAATAATTATTTGTTGAACAAATGATTGAATATAATTTTATGGCTCCCTCTCATTTAATGAGAATTAAGGATAATAAGAATTTGAATCCATTCATTTTAACTCATACCCACTATTTTCATCAAATATGTTAGCCTTATAGTTCAAATTATTTTGTACCAGAGCTAAAATAACTACTGATTATCATTTTATCTCTCCCTACAAAATATCTGGTGGAAGTTCCTATAAAGATTGAGAACTTTGAGAGATAAATAACTAAAATAAACAAATGAACAAAATTTCATAAAGTCTGTACCATTTAGGAATAAATAAGTTGCTCTGAGTCATAAAAAAGGTTACTTCTTTAAGCAAACAGGCATAGAAGTAGTGGGAATTGTACTATACATAAATTATACTTCAAAAGTTAACACAGAAAAAGGCATAGAGATGCTCTTCGGAAAACAGCTTTGAATACTCTTTGTGGTCACTGAAAGACACTTTTTGATAGCTCAGAATCCAAAAATTACTCATTCTGTTGCATCTGACTCATAATTTCCTGTTAATCTCGTCCCCCCCACCTCCCATCATACAAATCAATAGCACTGTCTGGATCTGTTTTTCCATTTCAATCTAGCTTAAGGGAATGGAAATTATTATAAAGAAGCATGCAACATGTTAAAATACAGAACTATTTCTAGAACTCACAAATATGTGACCTAAAGAACATAGCAAGATCTCCTTATTGTGTAGCAGCATGTTAAGGATAGTATCAGAAAATTTTTTTTAAAGATATTTATTTATTTATTTATTTATTTATACATACATACATACAAGCATTGGGTATAGTCAGAAGCGCGGGAGGGTGAGAGAATTCACCAGAGCCAGAGCAGGGAGCAGAGCAGTCAGAAGGACCGAAGTACACTGCTGAGGGGAGCAGCCGGCAGCAGGAGAGGTCTGCCCACCATGTGGGACCCTCTTCCGGTGGCCGGGGAGCAGCCAGGGATCGAACCAGCACTGCAGAGGCTGCGGGGCAGCTTTGCAACCCAGTGCTCAACTGCTGTGCCACCGGGGAGGCCCAGTATCATAAATCTTTATACACATTCAGAAAATTCTGTACCCAAACAGAAATTTATACAGCATCTTAGATAAAGTGTTTTTTCTGTGGGCAGAAAAAAGAAAATGGAACTAATCTTTTTTTTTTTTTTTTAAGATTTATTTATTTATATAAGCACTGGGTACAGTCAGAAGCGTGAGAGGGTGAGAGAATTCACCGAGCCAGAGCAGGGGAGCAGAGCAGGCAGAAGGACCAAAGTACACTGCTGAGGGGAGCAGCGGGCGGCAGGAGAGGTCTGCGCGCCATGTGGGACCCTCCTCTGGTGGCCGGGGAGCAGCCGGGGATGGAACCGGCGCTGCAGAGGCTGCGGGGCAGCTTCACAACCCAGTGCTCAACCGCTGCGCCACCGGGGAGGCGCATAAAATGAAACTAATCTTAAAGAAGTGGAGTTTAGCATCTTAAATTAAGCATGACAGGTACACAGATCTAGCAATATAGTTATCCTTGAACATATTTTCTTTCACTATGCCTCTAAGATGCAATGAACACCTTGGAGTTTTTGTTTCCTCTCTTCAAGAAGGAAACAAAATATAGTTTATCACTAAAATAGGCTTTGATAAGTGTTAATCTCAATGTTTCCTAAAATGAAACCTGGAAACAATCAAAACTAAGTTTCACTCATAACCTTGACTTTTTGAGGTACCTTATTAAGAAAACTGAAAGAAGGCTCACAAAATAATTTTGTTTGGAGAAATTTTTTCCAGTAACTTGTATTGACTTGACTATAAACCAACCAATTGTTAACACATAATCCCAACGATTCTTTCAGTTATCATCTCTATTCCTGTTTTTGATCAAGCTAAAAAGAGCATCATATTAACCACTCATAAGTTTTCTGCAAATTGCCATGTATTCGATTACTTGGAATCTAAACACTGGATAATTTATCTGCTCTATCCCTATGACTAGCATTACCTGATCTATTAATAGTTTACTGGTGTGAAACAGTGTCTGCCAGAATTAGTTAAGGGCAAGTTTTTGTTAAATTCCAAATGATTCTTTTATATGTGGCAGCATTTAAATGAACTGAATTACTGAGTTTTAAAGGATTCCCAGAGTTTGGGAGTAAATTCAGAAGCAATCTCTGGTTTTCTAGTATCATTGCAACTTTTAAATTAATGTTTAACATAAACATGTTTTTGTTCATGAAAGGGACCTGTGCAAAATATGAAAAGAATACACATCAATATATTAACTATTGACCTCACATTTTTCAGATAAAAAAAGCAATCAATATACAGACACAACATTTCCATCCTCAGTCCAACACAAGGATAATACTTAATACCTAATAAGAAAGCTGAGTATTTTGGTATGAAAATGAACTCTAAGCAGCCCAAATTGGGTTTTAAAAAAATATAAGATAATCTCTTTTAAGCCAGAAAAGATGTAGTGAGTAATTAACTTTTTACATGATAGATTACTTAGTAGTGACCTACTCATTATTCATTAAACAAATACTGAAAGCGAGCTTGTTGGTTCTTTCAACCTTTTGAAAGAGCTATTACTCTCTTAGAAATTAATGTCAGATCTTCAGAAATTCCTGTTGATATTTACTAAATATGTATAGAAAATTTTAGAAATCAAGCACAAAATTTAATCATTGCGAAGTTTAAAAGATTCCAATAACTCAAACTACTACAACACAATTTAAGCCATTGAATGAATTTATAAGAACATAGAGGAAGAGGAAAAGGAAAGGAAAAGCAGGCAATAGAATTAAGAGGATTAATTTAAAAATTCTTCTTGATTCTAACAAGGAAAAATAAAAGTACCTGTCACCAGACAAGTACTCTTACTATTCTTTAACATTACATACCTTGGTCTCTGTGACTGGCCTTGACCTGGGATTTCATCTACCCCTGGGAGACCACTGCAGGATTCAAACCTCTTTGAAGCTTCACTCTTTCTTACTAATTGTAAATGAAAAAGGAATAATAACAGAGGTGATGAAAATATGAGGTGTTCTTGTTTAAAGCTCAATCATTTAGCAAAACACATGAAAAAAATTTTAGAAATCATTTTCCTATTATCCTATTTTTAGAAATCATTTCCTAGACATATTATTTCTAAAGAGTTATTTCCTCTATTACGAAAATAATTATTTGATGAAATTGCTATTAAGTTCCTATGATACTATTAATATGAGTAACTAGCAGCTTTTCATAATTTTTAAATTTTATACAGATTTATTCTTTTGACACCCTATATCTCAACACAAGTAAAAATTTAAAAAAAAAACACCATGGTTTCTTAAAAATATTTGTTTGTTTTAGATACCTCTTACCTTGTCTGAAATCTGATTCGGAAGAAATAACAGATGGACTTTCACTCGAGATACTAAAGATATCACTGTGGTAAGTTTTATACCTTCGAATTGGTTCTGAAAGGATTACAACAAAAACATTATAAAGCACACTCATTAGTTGTTCCACACAAATCAAATATGCTTACACTTATGAGACTACACCATTTTACATATTACATTAAATTTACCAATTGCTGGGCAGTATTCAAATAATGTGATTCCAATTTTGAGGCAGTTTGTCACATTAGTTACCAGCCTGGACTCTGATGCCAGATTGCCTGGTAGCTCCACTACCTTACTAGGTATGTCACTTTAGGGAGTAATTTCACCTTCTTGTGACTCATTTCCTCTAGCTGAGAAGGGGGTATAATAATCCACAGCCAGATAGGGCTGTGAACATTAAATTAACTAAATATGCCAAGCTCTTAGGATATCACCATTAATGAACATCACCATTTTAAACAGTTTTTTTACTTGTAATTTCTACATGTAATTTTCTATGTTAGGTGCTGTAATGGATAGAAAAGTCAAAAGTATGGTCTCAAACTCAGAGACCTTAAAATATAGAAGTATATACATAATTCAAGACACACTGTTTAGTTCTGCCAGAACAAGATGAACAAGCACTGGGAGTAGGGGGTACTGTGGAGGATCGTGCAGAATGCCCTATCGAGGGGACAGGATTTCTGTCCTACTAAAACCTAAACTGTACCTTCTAAATGTTTGACTCCACCCCTTCTCTTAATACCCACAATTGTTCTCAGATCATTATTCATTTCATGCCTTGACTGCTGCATGTGGCCCAGAGTCACCCTTCCACAGTCTCCCATCTTAATTCACATTATAAAGAGTGAACTTTCCAGAAATGAACATCTAAGCATATTGTTCAACTTCTTAAATTCTTCAAATTAGAGTCTTTAAAAAACAATTTAGAACTCCTTAGTTTGGCATTCAAAGCCTTCATTAACTGGTCCTCAACTATATTTTAGTAGCGGCTCACCATAGTGTTCATTTGCTAGAATCAGGTGAAAAGTATAGACCTCTATCCACTCACAAACCACATATATTCACAAAAACTTAAATAGAACTTTAGAAACTCAATCCCTTGTTCCATGGCCTCATTGCCACCTGTTCTCCTAGACACATTTTGCCCCCATGTTACTGTATTTGCAGATAAAGCATATATTCCCTTCAGATATATACTCTTTATGCTAGGAATACTGCCCCACCCCCCTTTCTTCACATGAATATTTGAGTTTTTTCTTTTAAGAGAAGCCTCACCTCTTCTACAAAAGCTTTCATGACTACCTAATGACTGAGGGAGCTATTGCTTCTCTTGCTTTCATTTGCTTTGCTGCAACTCTTCTGCTTAATAGTTCTCTACTTTGCTTCCTTACCTCAGTTATAAACTCTGACAAAAAGGGTAGTGTCTTAGATATACTGCTACTGCTCGTATCTAGCAATTCTTTGATATATAGCTAATACAAAATAAATATCGAGTAAGTCTGAATTAATGGATAAATATGTATTATACAAAGTTTATTTTAAAGGAACTGTTTCCATTGCACAGACAAGTCAGTGGCCAAATCAGCGAGGGTTATAGAAGGATTAAATGGTAAATAGTTGAGAAAATGAGAATACACAATTTTTTAAAATAGTGTAAATAGCGAGGGTCTGAGAAAGGAAAAAAATATTTTTAAACAAAATAGAATGAGTGATTAAGGCCTTTTTGGCAGACTGGAATGTCTGAGCATGATTTCAGGCATCAAATAAAAGTCTACAGATTAGGGGAGACTGAAGCTGCAAACGATAGTGGGGAGAATTGGTAAGAAATGTGCTGAAGGATCACGAGGAGATGGAAAACTACAATATGCACTGGTTGGTTTGTTAGGCAAAGAAGAAGAAAGAAATGACTGCCAACAGAAAGAGTTAAAGTACAGAGGAAATCCCAAGCTACTCTTGTTAGAGTTGCCTTACTCCTAGTAATGAAAAGTGAATCACTTCCTGGGAGCCAGTTTGGCTGGGAGATTGGAAAGAATAAAGAAATTCTGCTGTGAAGAACATGATAAGAGTGAGCACAACCACAAGAAAGCACTTGTGTAACCATGAGAGTTAAGATTAGGCTAGATGGAATACATAAATTTTATTGGAACTAGTCAGAATGGTTTGGTGACTTTTTCTAGTCACTAGAGAAAATTGATCATGGAAAATACCCAGAATTGAGGAATGACATGCATGGGATGTATAGTAGCAGATAATCAAGGATTATGAGGGAATCTTTTCTACTAGTTTATAAACATGAGGGCAGGGACTACACAAAATGATTATTTCTTGTGCTAGGAGGTGCTCAATGGAGAATATTAAAAGATGAATGAACAAATAATTAAATGACACAAGAATGAGGCTTACAAAACCAGGATGGAAATGATGGGCTAGAAAAACTGGGAGGTTAGGCTGGGACAAAACTTTAAATAAATGAGACACATAGCAGGATAGATGATTGGCCATGGACTTGATAGAATTGTTTACCTGGAAAAGTAGGGATAATATAGGAGAATTCCTATTTTATCGAGATTTGCATATAATGAATGTGAGTATCAAATAATACTATCACTGATGGAAACAGCTGTGGAATTGAAAATCCAATACTTTTAAAAAACGATTCCATTCCACCATGGGGAATGTTCATAGTAAAATTATTAAGAAATTTTGAAAATTCTGCTGGTTTAAGATGAGTGTGATTTGAAAGGACTGTACAAAATTTCAAATAATACTTTTATTTAATACTACTTTAAATTTAATGAACACAGTTAAATGGTTACTTAAGAAAAATGGCTACTTTCAAGGGTGCAAAAGAGTTATATTTTATTGTTATTAAACTCCCAAAATAAAATTTTGAGGGATTTTCCAAAGGAAAATCAACCAAATTACAAAGCTGGCTCTGTAACATATAGGACAGTAAAAGCAAGAAGGTCAAAGAGGGGACCCAAATGTACAGAGGCAATATGGTTTTACCTTACAAAGAAAGGCAGAAAGTCACAATAAACCTATTCAGTAAACAGAGGACAGAACTTTAGCCACATGGAATTTATATCATGTAATCACAATTCCACATCTCATAATAAATGAATTTACTGCTTCATTAACATATCTACAAAGTGGCTGCTAGATAGTAAATAAATATGACTTCAATTTCCATTCTTGGTAGTGCTTTATAATTGTTCTTAAGCTATTTCACATGTCTGTAATCTCTCTCACTAGTCTGTTTTCTTTCCATTTTCTTGAGTTTGACAACACTAGTAAACTTTTTACAATTCGAGATCCTTCTGCAATAAATTAATGTAACTTTGACAAAATTCTTTTTTAAATATGACCAAAAAATGCTTTACCATTTTATAGTGATAAGGCACCAGCACTCCAGAAATACAAACCGAATAACTAGGTTAGCAAGACTGTTGGGAGTAGAATGGCTTTGGTTTTTTCCTAGACTGGGGTAGGAATGGGGAATCTATGTCAATTAAAGTGGTAAAAATCTTTTTTGTGAATTTCTTGTATTCTGGAATGTTTCTTTTAAAATGTTATTAGTCATGTTTCTTTCATGTAATCACATGGAAGATATAAACAGATTATAGTTCCCAGGCAATATTTACTACTCAAATCATGCATATAAGAAGTTATAATCAGATTAAAGCTCTCAGCCAAAATTTACTACTCAGTCAAGCTTGTAAGTTTGGCTGTTATAAATATGGGCTTTCCATTTCTGGATTAATAAATTTAACCATTCCAGGAATTTTAGTAACATCATATGTCCTTTACCAAAAGTGTCTTGCATTGGTATATAAGGAAAAACATTGTTCATGCTTACAGATAATTTGTACAGGAACATTTCTTGGCTTTCTGAGATGATTTACATAAAGGCGTCCAGTACTAGCTGGTGGACAGCTTTCTTTATTCTGATCTGCAGAATGGTACTCCCATTTTCCATGAGCGGTCTAAATACTAAATACTATCAAAAACTTTTTCTTTTTTTTTTTTTTTTGAGAATCCAGACACCACAAATAAGCTTTCCATCTACATTTAAATATATTATCCAGCACTTCAGATTTGGTCCCTGGTACCAGACCCCAGGAGTGTGGTACTGACTGGATCACTTAGAAAAAATACATTATGACAACTTGTATACAGTCATGAAAACAAGTTTTCATGCACCCATTTCCTAGCATCAATAAACCTACTAATTGTTATTTTAACTAGAGTGTCAGACTATTTTTAAAAAATAGATATTTCGAAGTATTTACAAAATATTACAAGTTTTCTGAGTGCCAAAATTCTTGCATCATGTGCTATGGACCTATTAAGAATATTCAAATACATGTAAAATACCTATGTAGCCACTTATTTGCAATACTAAAATTGTCATAGCAAAATTTTAAACTTTCATCATTACAACAGCAGATCAATGTTTGTTTTGTGGATAAAATTAGGCTCAAAGTCTAATTTTTTGGTTTGCAAATTTCCTTTCTCAACTAGTAAATATTTAAATTAAGTTTACATAGTACAAATTAGTATACCAGGGACCATTTAAGATAATGATTATAGCTCATTTCACTAGACAAATTCCTTCTCTTTGACTTATTTTTCAGATATGGAAAATTAACTTGTAGGAGATGAATATTTGTGATAGAAATAATGAGCACTAAAGAGTAAAAGGGATTATAAAATTAACCTGGGAACATATTACTTAAATAGCACCAAATTGGGCTTGTATAATACATGTAAATAAACACATAGGAATATATTATCTCTAAGAAACATTCTGTAGAAAAGTGGTGAGAGAATGAGAAGAGCAAGGCTTACAGAAGAATGACTTAATGAATTAACATTTCTGGATAGATTATTAGAGAGACTGCATATTCATACATACTCTGACAGTTGAAGGTATCTTCTAATTTCTAGTATTATTTTATCCTAATTAGGAGTACACTATTTTTTGGTCAGTATACAAGGCATTAAAACCTGAGAAAGGTTTATTATCCTTTAACTGTTATCTGTTTCTTTAAACAAATTTACTCCAA